CTTCTCTTCCTCTCTCTCTCTCTCTCTCTCTCTCTCAGCTGGAGGAGCTTGGATACACACCAAGTGTCTTTTTACTCAACTAATATCTCAATGGTTGTTGCTGAAACAACAAAGCTGTGGGTAGGATGTTAAACAATGAGCTGCAAACTCACTCCGGAAGCTCCATAAAGCTGAGGGGGAGTGCCAGATCATTCTTCTGTTAGGTATCACTATGTCACATTGTCACGTTGTCACATTGTTTTCATCACGCCATTTCAGGGACTTTATTTTATAAAAATATCAATTACAGCTGCTTTAAACAATTTATTTATGCCTTTATCAAATGTTTACGGAACATTAAGAGAAATAAATCTGACAGGACAACCTCTTACTAATTTGAAATCCAACAATCCAATCACATCCTTGGATTTATTTTTGTAACTGTGGAGAAAACTATTTTGGAAGTTGCTTATATTCAGCAGCTGGAAATATTCACATTACTTTAATTTTAACAAACATAACTGGATTTTAATCGTCATAAGTCTGAATTTTGGGGAGAAAGGACGCAATTACCATTTTTTGGGGAGTAGCAGAAAAGTAATATAACTAGTAGTGTAACTAATAAATGTTGGCAAGGAGTAATAAGTAAAGTAATAACATTACATAACAAAAGAATAATGAGTAATAAATTAATTTTTTGAGTAACGAGCCAAACACTGGTAGATCACAATGGATCTATAAACAGATCACCTGTTAAGATAGTTTGTTTCATAATTTCTGAAACCGTTATAATAATAATACAGAATTTAAATTAGCATCTACCAAGGGTAATCTGCTGTTTCACACTTTCATGCTTAAATCCAAATTGCTGTTCTTACCTGATTTCGTTGGATGACCATCCATACTGTGGCATGTAATCCATATATGATACAAATAGGAACTGTTTTTAATAGTGCTGCCTGTTTTGAACACATTTTACTGTTGACTTAACTGTAGGAATCTTAACATCATTAAGCATCAATTAAGGCGGTTACTTCATTTCCTTTCCATTTCGGTGTCTTGTTGTCCTCCATGTTAATGCTGGTTCAGTCGAGCTGCAGTGGCACCAAAATTATGATAACCGTCTCAAGTGAATGTAATGTAAAATCTAATTTAAGTATGGGATCCATTGTCATATACTGTATCCATGGAGTCCTAATAGGAATACATATTTGGGCCCCTTCCTGCTGCAGCGTGAACACAGCACAATGTTAGTATGAGCTGCTGTACCTGCAGTGGATGAAGTCGGGGACGGGGTTGTGGACACTGAAAGAGGCTGCGTCCAAGTCTCTGCAGATCTCCACATTGTCTCCAGCCATTAGACGGATTGCCGCCTTGTTCTCATCATCAAAGACCTGCCTCTGGAGAGAGGCACACAACAGCAACATGAAGTCATCTAGAAAAGAGGAGAGGAAGTCATCAGTATCATCAGTAATCACGACATAGCTACTAATTAGAAAGATGTGGTTCAGACTCATCACGAGAGCTACACAAATACACCTACAGATGAGGAACGATGAGTTGGGTTTGGTGAGAAAATCTGGAATGTAGAGCCACTTGATCACATTGGAGTCTGTATAATGTGAGGGGAACCTCCAGGGATAGTCTGAAATTAAAACATGCCATTATCATCCATTATCATCAGGCATACATTATCATCAGACCTACGTATACACAACATGAAACAGGACTGACAACAAGAGCCTTGAACTAAAACAGGAAAAAGTACATCACAAAGACAGAGGGACAACAAGTTCTTTATATATGATGTGTTTTTGCAATAATATGAAACAATTAAAGCTCCTCAATGTTTGTGCGTCCTGAGATATCTTCAGAAATCTTGTGTTTTACATATATGACGCAGATCTGTATTTTGTGAATAAACAAATGTTCATCCTATGACGTATATAAAAAGTAAATTGGGGATGTCATTTTGACACAATATAGACAGTTTCAGCTACTGTACGTTATCAATCTAAACTGAACAAAAACACAGTATAAAATAAAAAATCTAAGACTTTTTCTATGCACACAAAAGGCTTCTTTAAAATTTTTTTATTTTTTTTGTTAATGAGCATTTCTCAGGTGTGACAGGCGTGCCATATGAAGATGTTGATTAAACAGCATAATGATGAGACATATGTGTCTTGGATTGGTCACAATAAAAGATTTCCATTAAAAATCTGCAGTTCTGGGCGCCAAGTCGGTAGAGCTGGTAACCCATATACGGAGTTGATGCCAGCGGCCGGGTTCGAATCCCGACCCTGTGGCCCCTTTGCCTGCGTGTCATCCCTCTTCCTCCTTACCCAGCCTTTCCTGTCAATCTCCAGCTGTCTCTATCCAATAAAGGCATGAAAAGGCCAAAAAAATAAAAAAATCTGCAGTTCTGTGTCATTCTTCCTGACCAACAGAGATATGTAAATACCTGGACACGCATTATGTGCATGTGCAGGAGGTGGAGGCATAATACCAATAAAGTCACATATGTGACGTGGGTGGGCATGCAGGTCATGTATGTTGTTATGTGCATTAGTTAGCATCAGTGCTTTTAAGCCAGTAGCCTTGTCTGTGGGAGCTGCTTCATGTCAGAGGCTGCACAGCTGGTGCTTATCTCCGATGGAAACATTGGACTGTTTCAGGTAAGTAGCCACCTTTATTTCCTGCCTTGCTACTGCTCAGAGCCTCCACTTACAGCGGTTGAATCACTATTGTGTGCTGTATTAGCTTGTGGTTTTTCTACTGACCAGTATCCATAAGGGTTAGGGTTTCGGGTTTGTTTTCGCCTTGTTACAACAACTGTGTCAGGAGTTGGGTTTTTGACATGTTTTAACATGTGTTAACTGTAATTAAATGCAATTAACGTTACCCCTACCAGGGTGAACTGTCTGTGACACTAGCAGAGGTTGAATTTGTAGCTGCACGTCTCATTCTACCAACAGCATTATCAACACAGTGCTATGAGTGCTGGTTTTATTGGATGTAGTGTAGTGTCAATAGCTTTACACCATTATAGGTGCTTGTTCACCTTGGTCTTTGGGAACTTGTAATGAGCACTATTCTCTGTTTATTTGACATTTTAATATCATTTACAATTAAATGATTACTAAACTGACTGGTTACTGTAAGTACAATCTGGTAAAGTCGTTTCCACAAACCTTTACAGGCTGCAGGTGGGATCCCGATGCAGACAAGGTACTGAAATGTCAGCATGCAGGCCAGGAAGCAGCAGTACTTGGGCCAGATCTCAGCGATGGCTTTCCTCCTGCGTTTATACATGACTGCTATCAAGGCGAAGGCATGAAGCATGGCATAGAAGTCCATACGCTGCCCAATTACATTGACCACCAACAGCAGGCATGTCTGAGGGAAACACATGAATTTGTACATGAAGTGATGAAGCTAACAGTATATATATATATATATATATATATATATGTGTGTGTTTTTTAACTTCTCTCTACCTCAAGTCCAAACTTGTAGAAGAAGTAGTTGATAAAATATTTGATGCAGCTGATGATGCCGATGTCCAGATGCTGCCGTGTGATATCATGGAAGATAATCCTGGAAATGGGAGGTGACAGTTTGTTCCTCAGTCTGAAGTATTTCTGATGGCGGTAGATGGTCACCTCGAACACTAACAGAGCCAGCATCGCAAAGTTGTGCTGCACAGAGAGAACAATTTCCTTTTGTTAAATACATGCAGACGGTTTAAATAACTGATTAGCTGATTGACAGAATATTGGAATCATTTTAGAGATTTATCAAATAAAAACAAAACATTTTATCTTCATTTTCACTTTATCAACACAATATTGGCCCTTAAAAATACCCTTTTTGTAAATGTTAAAGGAAAACTTCGGCAGAATGCACTACAGGACATTGTGGTTTTCTGGGGGGAGTTATGTGAGGGACTGTTTCTTGGCCAGGCACAGTGACTTGCAAGACAAGTCCAAGACCAGGAATCCAAATCAAGACAAGAGTCCAAATGAGAGTGACAGAAAAAAAAGAATGCTTTTGTCATTAACACTATGATGAGTTTTGGTAGCTAGGCATTCGATTTTAAGTGACATTGATTGGCCGTCTGGCGATCATGGTTAATGCCTAGTGGCCAAGTTCGAGACAATAGAAAAAACTTCAGAGCGAGACCGGACTCGAGTACAACAGCGCTGCTTCCTGGAGTCATTATTGCCTTTTAAAACGACAAACTGATTTAACTGTTTTTACACTTACACTGGTTTGTAGAGATTAAACAAACATGTTATTAAAGGAGCTTTAGAGTTTGTTTCCTTTAGACAGACCCAGGCTAGTTGTTTGTCTTTGTGCTAAGCTAAGCTAAGCTAAGCTAACTGGCTGTCAGCTTCAGCTTCATATTTAACAAGTAGGTGTATTTCCCAAAATTTCAGAACTATTCCTCTCAATTACATCCTTTCAGTTGATGAATGTTTCCAGTCCTCACCCTGAGGTATCCCAGCAGGTCATCAGACAAAGACTTCCTCAGGCCCACCCAGTGTGCTGGTTCCACAAGTTTCTTATACAGCAGAGATTCCTTTATCTCTTCCTTATTGTCGTCTGTGTAGTTACTTGGCTGTGGACAGAAAATAAGTTTTGTTGACCATGAAATAGAATAATCTGGATGGAGTCAGGTCTGTGATGTATGTTTGTGTGTACATTGTGCGTGTATGTGTTTTACAATAAATATTGTTTTAGACAGAACTTGAAACATGCTCAAATAAGTTCTTGAGGGTCATGTTTAACAGTATGCAGTGGATACAACTAGGGTCAAAAACCTGGTTATACTCACCATGAACTCAGTGCAATTCTTGGAGTATGATAGAGGGTCTATAGACTTCAGCTGGTACAACATTTTGCATACAATAATGACACACGTCCACACAGTGCAAACACTGGAGGCCAGGGGCCGATACTGGCTGTAGGGCAGTGCAAAGGCCCAGGATGCCAGAAACACATAGTTGAACAAAGACACCTGCAGAGGAGACAATACAGGCGATGAGGACAAAAAACAGCACATAAAACCTTTTTCCACTGACACCCTCCTTTTCCTCATCTTTTGTCCTTCTACAACTAAAAGCATCACTGTTGTTTTTTGTATTAATGTTTACACAGAACTGAAAATAACAAGTGATGAAAGTATAGGAGGCAAAAACCATAAAAAAAAGATCATTACATCACATAAAGCTGAGTCTATAAAAGTGAGTTTTAATAAGAATCTAGACAGACTAAGCCTGAGTAGCTTATCCAGTCTAAACCTATCAGTTTTCTGCAAACTCAGAGAACCCTGTTTTGAATATAATCTTTTTTTTCTTACAGAAACTGTAACAGCTACTACAGTTTGCCCAAATACCTCCAGCCTATTATCTGGCTATTCTGTGGTGTAGTAGATAATCCTGGTTCATTTTAAATTGGTTCAAATTGGCTCAGTGTTGCAAGATCAACTTATTTTAAACAGCGGCTGAGCAATAAAATAAACCAAGAAAATCTCGAGCAATGCCCAGGGTAATTATGATTATTAATATAACTTCACCTCTTGTATAAAATGTACTTGTTACTTTCTGTTACTTCTAGATTACCTCAATACCAAATAATATGCAAATAAAGACAAGGAAAAGAAATATCAATAACATGACTTTTGCTAATTTTATAAGACAACAGAACAACGTAACCTTAGAAAATAAAACCAAGATTTCTGGCATAAAAAATGTGTCCTCTGCTCAGTGTGTTTCTTTCATTAAGGGTCACGATAATTAATTGGCAATTGTAAGATTAGCTGTGGTTTCACTCGTGAAGTGTTGTAATGTGTGTGCAATATCTGAATCGTTTTTTGTTTTAAAGCTTAATCTTATTACATTTTTTTCTCTATAACTGTGATGATTTACAGTTACCTTTTTTTTACGTAACTCCATCACATGTAATTCGTTACTGCCCGCGCCTGACCACAACCTACTACAAACACTGAACACCACGTCTGGTTTACATTGTGGCAGTGTATGTAGCACATGGCACGACAATGTGAAAAACACTCAAGATCTTGATTTCTTGGACAAAATCCACTATGCAGAGTCAGGGTTTCTGGCACAACTTCCCCTTGGAAAAGGAAACGCTCACTTAAAAGGGTCAAGCTCCAGCAACTCTTTTAGTTTAAGGCCAATTTTATTCTCAGACCAAAATAAAATTCAACTGTGGCAATCATAGAATCCTGTTTAAACATAACTCACTACATCTAGCATGTGCCAAGTTAAAAGTGACATGCGGACAAAATAAACTACTACTAATATACAAAGTAAAACTGTCATACAGTAAGGATATTCATATGTTTGAGGATAAATGGTGAACTTGGTCTTCCAAACTGGATTTAACAATGACATTAAACTCTTGAAAGCGTATTTCTGTCCCCTTCCTTGCTACACAATTCATAGTTAAGATTTCCTTCATTATTTTGAATGCAAAAACTCAAGAGAAAATGAACTGCAGGAACATCTGGAAGTCTTAAACGTTACCACCTTAGTAAGCAGACATGACTACCTGTTGTTGGAGATACTCGGTTTAGTCTCTAACTGTCACTAACTGTACCTCGGCCTTTCATACCTCTTCGAGAGAGACCAGAACAATGTAGCAGGACACGATCTTGATGATGTGGATCTCCAGCAGCCACCAGATGAACAGCTGCAGTTTGTGGAAATACTCCAGGAACTTGAGGAAGAGCACAGTCAGACGGTCGACCACCAGGTGCCATTTATTCTTCAGATCTGAGGAAGAAGAGATAAAAACCAGATACACTTAAATGGAAAAACAACAAGACTGAAGAAGTGCGAATGGAAAATGTTTCCTGGTTTCACCTCTTAATTACAGCTGAGTGTCCTCTGTTTAAACACTATTATCCCTCTTAAAGCACTTTGCTTATGTGTCTTGGAACAGACTGACAATCCGATTCTCTCTTTAAACTTCAGGAATAGGTCTGATGGTACAACCAATCACCTGAAAATACCAAATCATAGTATTGTCTGTGTATGCAGAGCCTGATATATCTTAATGATTATCCATTACTATAACACAGCCACAGTAATTTGTTATTAATCAATCCCATACTGTACAATACACTGTCCAGCTGCCATAAATGTGTTTTAATACCCCAACAGATGAACTATTTAGTCCTGTTTTTTCCATCCTTATCCATCAAATTGTCTCCTGGATGATTAGATTGTATTTCAACAGGTACTTTTCAATAAAAAATAAACCACTAAAGGTCTTAACAAGCTACATTTAGAGGTTGCCAGACACACATTTAATCACAGAAACAACTAAAGGGAAACACATTACAGCTGAAACAACAATTGATTAGAGCATTAAGAGAAAATAATATCATTTCTAAACTCAAAGTGTCATTCCAGTTTTTCACGTGATTTTTTTTTTCTTCTATTGTAATAAACTGAATGCTGTCTGGTTTTATAGTATTGGTTGAATAAAAAGCGACCTTTAAAAATGTCACCTTCAGGAATCATCATTTGCTGACATTTTACGGACCAAATAATTAATGTCTTAAATAAGAAATTATCTGTAGTTTATTTGATGATGGAAAAGATCATAAACTGCAGCCCTACAAATCATCTCATAGGAGGCATTATTTAAGTATATTAAAATTAAATAAATTAAAATTCAACCAGCTAACATGCAAATAGGGAAGAAATCAGGTATTTACTGACGATGTTAAAGGATTCAAACGGATGTGGATATGAATGACAAGTGGCATTTCAGTGAGGGAAAGAGACCTTTCAAGGTGTATACCATTATAATCCCATGTGTAATAAGGGTAAGCATAACTTAAACATGTGTTTATACATCTATTCTGAAACTGTAAAATGTTTATGTCATTTTTTGCCCCCATATGCAATATGTCAAGTTGTATGGAAACACGGCTGAAATACGCATTAACGCACAAATTCCAAACAGTTGCTTTAATTATCTGAGAATGAAGACTTAATATTTGGTTTTATATTCTCACAAAGTATATAAAAGCTCCAGCCACAGTTTGGTGGTGGGTGTATGTTCTTACAAAAGCCATATTATCTGAGGTTTTAATAGAGGCCTCATTGTTTGGATAAGAAACTCTGAGAGAGCATATAGCTCGTATACCTTGCAGCTCATTATAAACTGAGAGGCCCTGCAGGGTTGTGTTTTATCACCTATTTTATTTTCTGTGTATATAAACAACATTTTAATTTAGGACCAGTGTGAGTGTCTGTGTAAATATGCTAATGGTGCAGTGTTAGTTGGCCGTAGCAGGACGATGTTATGGGTGAAAGTGAGCACTTGAGCTACGCGCCGTGTCAGACCAGAAAAACTGCAGGTAAATCTCACTGAACCCAGAAATCTGCAATACAACAGATTTTTACAGCTTCGCTTGGGGTGATTAATGAGTGTGTGGTGAGAGTGCAGGCAGCAGATACTTGGGGAAGCAGATTGAGCTTCTCTAAGAGAGCTTTGGCCTTTAAAGATTGTATGCTACATACGTCTTCTGAGCAGACTGGAGAGCTACAGGCTGAGAGAGATCTGAGAGAAAAGAGGTCTCTACACTCATGACTGAAAGTGCTCTACTGCTACATAACAGCACAGGAGTCTCAGCTGTAAACACAGTGAGAAGGGTAAACATGGCCAGCAGTGTGGGAAGCTTGAATACACTTTGGAGGACAACCTGAGCATCATGCACAAAAGCTCACATGAGATGCTGTTTAAATACAACAAAATGTGCTCAGCCACACGGCCTCTAGATGAGCAGCTCAGCGATGACTTTGTTTTGATGTTTATCTCAGACATGATATACGTACATGCCAAGTAAACCATCAGGGGAAAGAGTAATGCATATTTTTTTAAGTAGGCCACAACTGGATAATAGCATTTTATTGTACAGGGTACTATTCTGAACTACGCTGGAGGATATTGTTTGTTTTTTTTACCCAGCATGCTCAGTCACCAAAGTCAAAACAAGGACAGCAAAACTAAAAGTATAACAAAAAAATACCAATTCAAAAACACAAACATAACTGTTGTTTTTGTTATTGCAGACTTGCTGAATCTGCCATCTGCTTGTTCGTCTGTGACTGAGGAAGTGCTGGGCACGACTCGACATCAGAACTAGGAAGTTGAGTTTCTTATGTAGTTGAATACTGTAGATTTAAATACCACTATTTGCTTTAAATAAAAAGCTTTACATCTTTACCATCAGAATCAAACTGATTTCTTGAATTGTAGATCTGTAACACGGAGGCAGATGTTAATAGATGATCCAACTGGTTGACAGAACAATAGTTACTGAGACGTATCACTGACAAAAGTGAAACTGGGATACTGACAGCTCTGGAAACCCTGTGGCAGCCATTTGACCCACTGTACGTTAGAAAATATCTGCTTGTGGGAACGTCACGTCTGTCTTTTTGTTTTGATGCCAGTCTGTATCTTACCAGTGAGTCTCAGCTTCTCCACACTGTTTTTTAATGCTTAAATTACACCAGACCTCCGTGCGCGTGAGAAGGAGGTACTACTATAGTACGAATACTAGATTGATCATTTGAGTCATTTATCAAGCAGAAATGTCAAACTGGTTGTACAGTATCTTCTCAAATATGGGATTTAAATATTATAAAGTGAATATCCTTGTGCCATGTGATAATAAAAATAATAGTTAAATGTGGCTACTGTGATTAATTGTATGTTGTGGACCCGCTCAGTACCTGAGCTCTGCTCGGTGCTCGGCTCTGGCTCCGTCCCCACACTGCAGTGGTGGCTCTCCTCTGTGCTGGACTGCCTCGGGTCGGAAAAGCTCCTGGGCTTCTCGCCAGTCATGTCAGTGTCATACATCACCACAACCAGGGCCTGCTCCTTCTCCTTCTCCTCTGTCTGCCACTCTCCCTGCTCCTCCTGCTTCCCCTGCTCCTCCTGCTTCTCCTGTGGCTCCTGCTCCTCTCTGGGCAGCACCGCCTCTACCGAGCTGGCGCTGAGCATGGTGAGATCTGCCAGGCTGCCATCTTGGTGCACCAGTCTGAAGACATGTGAGAAGTTATTACACATAAAGACACAGGCATGCAGACTCACACATACATCTGTATTTCTATACTTATGAGGACCGTCAATTACTTTTTAAATGTTTTTTTTTTTACCTGCTTTATGTAATTTTAGGGGCATTTTAGTCTTTTTGACTAAAATCTCACCACAAATATCCATTTAGTGTTCTGGAGCCTTTTATCATATTAAACCATTTACCTCAGCAGAGCTACCTCAGTTGTCATGGAATCGTAGATGTTCAAATTTCCATTTTCCCGAGGATATTAGACTTCTCATCCATGTTGGCTTTAAGGAGAGGAATGAATTTCAATCTCAGCCAAAAAGTAACACATTTGGATTCCACATCAGCCATTTAAGACAGAATTTATAGCAACAAAGTTTGTTTTAAACGCCATTATTTTTGCTAAGTAAGTTAGTCAAAGCAAAATAATTTTCCAGGACATTTCCAGGACATTTTCCAGGAGTCTTTCTTGACAACAGAAGACAGCACTTTCTCACAGATGGTTATATAATTTACTGGCTGTGGTAGACCTAGTGTTGACACATTTAACTACAGTTTTATTCTTTTTTAATGATACAGGACTCATGATTAAGTGTCTCAGGTTCATTACATGTAGGTGGTCAGTTTGTATTGGATGTCTTTTTTTTTTACCCCCCATGTACCAAGACCTACCTTCTCTCCCTATCACTCTTCAGCTGTCACTATCAATTAAAGGCAATAAAAGCCCCCCAAAAAATATTAAAAGAAACAAAACAAATTCTTAAATTGACCCTGCTAGGATTTTTTAAGAATTTCAATTAAGTTTGAATCCTTTATTAGAGACAGTGGAAAGTTGATATCCAACAAAAGATGTGGTTAAAGGCATTATGTCCTCATAAGTATATAAATACAACACAAACTCATACACATGGTCCAGGTGATTCTCCAAAGGCTCCGATGCAAATGTTTGGATGGGAATTATCAACTCCGCGTCCGCAAACTGTACGGCAGTGCAGTGTTTCATCAGGCATTGTAATTGATAAGCAGTGCACATTCCTTCGGCATTCTTTAAAACAATCTGTGTTGTTGTTGTTGGTGTAGATAAATGGTAGCATCTGAAGGAAGGCATTAACCCTTTAAATTCTTCTCAGGCAAAAATGGGGACGAGGTCAAAGGTCAGGTTTGGCTTGCATGAACCGGCCGCATATCAAGGCAAGCATTTCATTATCCAGTTATACTTACTTGCTCTGTTGAGTGGAAATTTTTTGCTTGATGCTGCTCAGAACAATGAAGTTACACAGAGGTGAAGATGAACAGTGAGGAGAGAAACCGACAAAGGCAGGCTGAAATATCTACATAGTTTTACTAAAATACATGGGAAAATGTCCAAAGGGCTCTTGTGGTTTGGGGTAGGCGAGCTTTTTCAGGAAGGGGGTAATTTTCTGACGTTCAGTGCAGAAAAGGAGGTGTGGATCATAGGCAAGATACTGGAAAGGGAAGAACAGTTCTTTCAGATTCAAACATGCTTGTTTGACAGTTTGTGAAACCACTGGAGAGAAGTAGAAGGGTTGTATTAGTGGGAAAGAGCTGGGTTGGGTTTGGAGGGGAGGTAAAGATCCAGAAAGATAGCAGAGAACCCAAATAGAAGAAGGCTACAGGCAAAATAATAAAATACAAAACCTGAAAACAAACACCATTCATGTCAGTAAAATACTTAAACTCGAGGAGTAAGATATTTCAGAAGATCATCAATGTATCATCATTGGCAAAAACAGAGCAACAGGAAGGAAGGAGGTCAGTGTGGGGGGGGAAAGGACGTATTGTAACAGGGAGAGGAAGTTGAGAGTCAGAGGTGAAACGGGATGGTGGTGGATGCCACAGAAACCAAGCAGATACCCACCTATTCATGATCAGATAGACACGCCCATTGACTTTAGCGTGGCTGTGTGAAAAAGGGTGGCAGAGGAGAGATGGCAGCAGGTCACACAGAGAGAAGCAGAGCAGAAGCAAGCGGCGGCGAAACAATGGAGAAAAAAAACAACAACACGACAATAAAGACACAACAGCACAGACTGTGAAAATGACACAGTGACAGATGGGTGATGAGAACAGTGGTTATAATGGGCGTTTAACAGAGTGTGTAAGTGTGACATGAAAAGGGATGAATGTTTTCACCTCAAGCTTAACTAAGGTCATCAGGTTCAACGTGTATCTATTGTCATATAGTTGAATTCAGTGTTATTGTTCATCCACTTTTCAGTGGAATCATGCTGATGAAGCACCAATTTGTGCCTCTCTTGTGTAATTACGTTTGAGTCACGGGTGGAAGCAGGTGAAAGACGCTGTTATTATTTATTGTGCCATAGATGATAAGAGACTTTATACAAATGAGAGATACAATGTTTTTCATCTTTGAAAAGCCAAGAAGGTTGTTTTACAATACTCTCTGTATTGTATTTACAGGATAATCAAATCAAATCTAACAATCTGGTACACAGTAAAAAACATTTATAACTAATTTTTAACTAAGTTCCTACCTTATTTTTATATCTCCTTGTTTAACAGCCCTTTAGGTTAAAAACCGATCTCTCAGAAAAACAAAAGCTTAGCTCCTTGACTCAAATATAATGAATCTAATCAGGTTTCTAACATTGACTTTAAATGTAATAATTCGAGGTGAGAGGTACAAACTGGAACTCATTGTGTTAGGGTTAGGGTGATCGTATGTGTATTATTCTATAAATCCACATTAATGATGCAACAAAGTGCATTGAACATCACAGTTAAAGTTATTTTAGATGTGATTTGTCATATTGTGAAATATATTTGTCATAAAAATGTTCCTGCTAAAGGTGCGTTTTTGTAGTATTTCTAACAGTGATTTGAAAGGGAAAAGACCTAGAATATCTACGTTTCTTTATGAGCGTCTTGCATTATAAACATAACCAATGGATAACTGTAGTCTGGACTCTTCAGCTTTATGTTGGAATATTATTAGTTCCTCAATGTGATGTATTTTATTTTGAAACAGGTTGTTTGGGTGTGACATTACAGTCGACAGTGAGAGATCAAACCACAGTCGAACCAATGGTCTACTATTTACGGAGAGAAGAGGAGGAAAGAAATTTGATAAGAATGACAGGACTGTTAAAAATTCAATGAGTTGTTTGACTGGACTTTTTAGATACACCCACCTGTGCAGCACAAGGTCACCACTGAAGGAGGCACTGTGCACATTTCTCAGGATTTTTAACACCAAAGCGACTGTAATTTGTTCTGACAGGTTGTCTTAGTACAACCTCCCTGTGGGGCATCTTACATTTGTTCAAAATACGCAGCTTGATTGAAAATCAACTGTACGAACTTAAACCAAATACAAAGAAATATAAAAGTCAACTTCTCGACGGTGTCATAACGTGTCTCACCTGTAGATAGTGCTCTCTTCTTTGGCCACCACAGCCTGGAGGTCGGTGAGGTCAAGGAAGCGGCCATGAAAGTAGTGCAGGTGGAGAATACACACCAGCAGGAAGGAAGTGGGAATAAAAATCCTGGTGAATAGCTGGGGGACATCAAACCTCTTTAGGCCCAGGTCCTCTAAGCTGCATAGATGGAAAAAATGAGAGGAAACAGGAAAAACATGAGACTTTTTTGAGGTATAAAAGGAAAACATCAGTATTTCCATAGTGTAGGTGTACAGAGAAGGAACCTGTTCTTCATATTTGGCTCAACTAATCAAGCCTAAAAATGCCGTTATCAGGCTGAAATAATCCTGTTAAATCTCATCCAGCTAATTTGATTCTTTGAACACAGTTTTGATGGTTGATTTCTTAATGCTGGATGAAGTTATCTTGAATAAATGTGCTCTTATTTTGAAATAAAGGTGGCATCCATAGAGAGAAGAAAGTAAAGAGTGTAAAGTTGTCAATTTAAATGTACCTTTAGTTTTATAAACGTATTCCGAATGACAAATAATTAATTGCATTAATCCATGTATATCTTTCTGTACTTATATTGAACTTACTTATCTGCACTTACATTTTAGGGTTCAAATAACAAATCCCCATCTTAATATCATCATGATTATGAATGTCATGTTTCCTGGTTCCTTTGATTCTTTAGCTTTAGTTTATGTCTTTTGTTTTTGTATATTATCCTACATATGTACTATATTGAACTTTTAAAAACACAAGTTGTGTATCTTAAAAAGAGATACAAATGAGGAAGCTTTTCTTTCCACTGCTGCCAAGTGCTTGGTTCACTTTATAAGGAGTACGGTCTAGACCGGCTCCTAATTTGAAAAGTGTCTTGAGATAACTTCTGTTATGTTTTGGCGTTTTATACAAATAAAACTGAATTAAACTGAATTTCTTTATAGGTATAAATATATATGTAAGTGTTCATGACCTTCAAACAAGTGACAAATCCAGAACAAAGTGAAATAAAAAAAAGATCAAATCAAGCTAACTCCAGGCACAGAGATCAGGGCCTACAAGTTAGATATAAAAATAAATGAAAATTAGATGTTTGATGACTAAGCTGTGGCAAAGTCCAGCCTGTTGCCAGTCGGGGAAATGAGACCAGCAGTGAGTCAGAACCTGCTTCTCTGACATGCCCAGCCAAGCTCACCCCTTTTCTTCCATGCCCGTCATGTTGGACCAGGAATTCCTAGTGCTTTCAAACTGGTAGGTGTAGACCAGGACGAGGACCAGCATGGTGTAAACCACCACCGACATCCAGAAGTACTTCAGGATCCTTCGCCACCACTCAAAGTGCACCTAGACGAGAATAATTGTGATCATTGTGTCTTAAGGGGGTTATGAATTCTCTGACATTAACAGCTGTAATGCATTAAATTAAACATGGTGCACAGAGGACATCTGGATTTAGGGTGACTGCTCTGTTTTATTGTGGAAGGGGGTTATAAAACAGTTGAGAATACACTGTGGATTATAAGCCTGTACATGAACTTTATGACATACTAAAATTGTCAGCACCTTCTGTCTTTGGGAAATTGAATTTGGAAACTTTACAGCCTCTAACCCATATGAGTATAAGTTTGGAACACACACATACAGTAGCACTTAGTAAACAGCATAATTAGTTTAGATTCAAGGGGCTTTATGAGCAAACAAGAGGTCATCAAACTTTTTTGGATTGAAGATTAAAATTTTATTCAATTTGGTCAAGATCCAAAATATTCAATGGATAATAAATATGTCTGCCTAAATTTCAAAGTGTGTACTGTATATTTGGAAATGCGTACAGATTTAACACATCAGAGCAGACATAAAAAGTTAAAAGTATTCAGGATTTCAGTCAAGATCTTGTGTGTCTTCAATTGTAGGCTTGAATAATAAGATAAAACGTCTAACATTGAGAATTGGCTAAAACATTTACACAACATTAACACAACCAGTGCATCTTGGTACCTGATAGAGCGCCACACAGGAGAGGAACATCATCATGTAGATGATCTTGTACATGACCATGGTTCCCTCAAAGCTGACGATGAAGAACATCCCACCACAGATGTAGATCCAGTATTTAACCAGCACAGCCATGACCATGTTGCCCAGAACATGCATGGTGTCCTGCTCCCCTCCCTCCTCAGAGTCCTCTTCCTCTATAAAATGCAGCAGTAAATCAGAAAACTCTGCACTAACTGATTAAGAACTAAGACATATGATACATATAAACAACATATAAGCACATAATTAAAAATAATAATTACAGGAGCAAAGCAAAATAAACAGATGACAATGACATTTATTTTAACTAAAAATGGATGAGAATAAAGTTCAAGTGACACTATTCTTTAACCGACCCTATTTGGCATTCACATGCAGTATATAAACATTTAATAGATAATAATTAATTATCTGTTTATCTGTTTGAGGAACATATAGAAGGTGAGAATGCTATGAATGTCTGGTACTTAAAGTATGAATGAATAACAAGAGAAAAAGAACCTGCCGAACAGCCTCAGCTTTCTTCCCTCATTGTAAAAATAAACTAAAGAGTATAATGTATGAAGTGTAAAGACACTCAGATGGTCAGCTTTGTATGGCTTGGGTATGTACAGCACATTCACTAACACTAACAACATGGTACGATGTTCTATAGTCTTGTGTATGTGAAATGTGTATCTTATGTGCATCTTTTAACATTTTACCAATATCAACATGATCACTGACATATGTTATTTATGTTTTATTGTTTTTCCTGCTCTGCATGTGTCAGAAATGGTTATAATCAGAACTTCTTGGCTGTGTCTTGTCACTTTGTGTTGCTTTCACTGCTGCCTGTACAGAATAGTGGATATTGTTGCTGTGTTACTGAACTAATGTTTTGCTGGCTGTTTCCTGTTGCTCTGCATGGCCTGTCTGTATTTTAACCGTCACCTCATTGGTTTCAAACCATCTCGCTAAAGGACTGCAGTTGAAAAAAAAAAACTGGCGCATTTACAGAAATGTTGATTATGTGTGTTGCCCTTGCGTTCAATGAAATGAAAAGAAATAAAGCTGAAGGCAAGAAACGTCCATCTTTTCTACTGGCAACCAACGAAAACACCAGCCTAGAATTCATACATGCTCTGGATAATGGTGGCGCTAGCAGCCAGTAATCTATATTATACAGTATTCCTACAATAGTATAAATAAAATAAGAGTCCAGGTCTTACCCTTCTTCTTCTGATCCTCCACATGAACTTCTGAGAGACCAGCACTGTCCTCCTTTTGTTTTTCCCATCTCTCTGTGAGCGTCTGTCTCAGCAGCAGCCAGAAGCTCAGCAGACACAGGACCTTCACACAATAAATAAAATGCTTAGACACACAGATGACCAGCAACAAAAGGAAAAGATAAAGTAATAAATCATTTGCATTTACTTTAACTTGCTGAGATATATACGTATATAATTTTAAAACTTAAATTTGAATGTCTAAACTCTGCAGCCATCTGGCACTTAAAAGAAACTTTAAAAACACAGTTTGACTAATCTCCGTTCTCCTAAGGGACGAACATATGCAATGTTTAATAAAACAGTAGCATGGTTGATATAGAACACATTAAGTTATGCATGTCTGCGGTGGCTTACTGATGTATAAAATCTCATTCTTGACACAATTAGGTCAGGCTCAGTACCTGCCAACATGAAAGTCTTTAAGCTATTCCAAAACATGTCAAAACACTGCAAACCTGACATTCTCCTCCATTGTATGACTGCCCTCTCTCATTTAAGTAATTGACTATTAGAGAGACATAGTTTGACAGTGTTTAGTTTCAGAGCACATCTGTTGCATTAGAAATACATGAACATATTAAATAGTTTTCACATCACAGATTGTAACTCAATCGAAAGGTCAGTTTTAACGATTGACTCGATTTGTAAGAGACAGAAAATAAGTGGTAATGTCAAAAACTGAGAAAATTCTTTGGCTGTTATAATTTTAATTCCCAAACCTTGGATGAAAGCGAGTGGAAAGGGTTGTTCTTCTTGACGAAGAACCCGGGGACGGGTGAAATGTTCTCAAAACTCCAAATGTACTGCAGCACTATCAGCAGGTTGCCGTAGGCCACCATGAAGGGAGAAGAGAGCATGGCGTACCGCCTCCGGTCCCTCACCATCCACAGCATGCACGACCAGATGAGGAAGACAAATGTCAGCCAGCTGACATATGTGATGCTCCACGCCTGAAGTAGACAGATCACAGGAAATTGTTAAATTGTTAATTAATTAAATAAAGTTTTATACAATTGTTTGGGTTTCTTGCCTGTACCATCACGTTTGTAATGCACAGTAAATATCTATAAAATATGTTGTGTAAAGCATAGTTTCATGGATTTATTCAGTCCTATTGTTTTTATTTTTCCTATATTCTTTTGGTATCTATATTTACTGTTTTCTACAACTACAGCTCCCATCATGCTTTGGATGAAACTGGTGTGTATTGTTGCTATTCAGTCAGAAAGTTGGCTGTTTACACAGCAATCATGGACTTATAAACAACTATCTACCGAATTACTTTTGGCAAATTCTAAATTTGATTATTTGATTATTTTTATATGAATTTGAGGAGCTCTGAAATTACAACAAAATTAAATAAAGAAACCTTTTCAATGAAATTCTTCTGAAAATCAGCTGCTTATAAGCACTACTAACTAAACTAATATAACTGTCAAAGAACTTTGCCTCAGTTCTCCCTACAATCACAACCACATCTATCAATTCATTCTAGGAAGCTTCCAAGGGAAATTATAAGGAAATTACAGCTAAATAAAGCATGACATTCCTCAAAATGAAGGTCTAAATGTTGAAATCCTCTCCAGGCTGCAGAGAATGAAATTCAGCTGTAAAAATACTGAAAACTGATGAGAAAATAATCTGTCTTAAAATACTGGAATCTGCCTAAACATGTTTAACAAAGTTTTTGATTATACAGTAATAGTTGCTTAAACTCTGACCTTTCCAGAAAAGTAACACAAACACGTCCTCATTGTCACTAATGTTAACTTTTTAAAGCTCTTTTTTTACTTTTTACTACTTGTTTTGATTCCTGCAGTATGTGTACGACAACTCTGTAGGCTGGAAGTATATTTAAGGTGGAATTTTGTTGAAATAATTAATTTGGTCTTCTTCCATATTAGTTTTTTGTAGCTATGTAAAGATGTAAATACTGTGACTTACTTTTATTATATACATTCATTTCATATAACACACACATGTTCACTAAGAGAAACATCAATACTGTCACTGTCAATATCCCATTTAATAAATTATAGTGTTTGTGTTCGGTCAAGCTACATAAAAGTTACTCAAATTTATTTAACTATGATTCATCCAGGAATGTTTAAATTGAGAACAGATGCTCTTTTTTTTTTTTTTTTAAATATCCTGCCACACAATCAGCCGTAGAAGCTGCCCAGTAAAACCACAGTTTTGTCCTGTTGGTCAGCCAATGGTTCCACTGGAGCAGAGAGGGATTCAGTGCCTTGCTCATGGGTATCGTAATCGATGCTGATCATTTACTAACCACACCAGTGTGTTTCCAGCAGGTCTGCGGGTTTAAACCTGTTATTTTCTGGTTATAATGCTGCATTCATGTCATGTCACTGAACCACAGGCTGGAAAACAATAGTCACATCTTCATTGCAAAACGTTTTAAGAAGTTGGATGTGTTCTTTGGTCAATTCCATTCACACTAACAGAGCCAACTCAACTTAAAGAGAGTATTTTTTTATGGTTTATGGTCAAATTTTAAATTCCCAAATCTAAGATGTTTTTCCTTTCTAATATCCAAATACATGACACATGATACAGCTAAAGCCAGCTTCTGTAACTCTGTAACACCATCTGTGGGCAGTATTACTCACCATCATTGCTATGAGAGCACAGATGTAGCTCTGTTTCATGATGAAGTGGAAGATTTTGACCATCGCGCTGACTCCTCTTTTCTTTATCCCATCCTCTCCGTCCTCAGACTTCTCCACTCCTCCTTCCACTGCAGAGTCCTCCGGGGGCAAACACACCTCATACACACACTCATCCTTCTTCTCTGGTTGAACACAGAAACAAAACTCACTGTTACTAACAGTTATGGTACTTTGCGGCATTATTGAGGCAAGTAAAGCACAACTAGTTTTTGCACTTACATAAAGTTGGGGGCAATTGCAAGACACACATTTAAAAACAGAAATGTCAAAATCCAACAGCAGAGGCTAAACATTTTAAGTCTCCAAGTTCGAAATAAAATTACTCAAGTGAGTTATTTTCTCACATAAAGTTCCCTTAGACATTAAGCAGCTGTATTCACAGGCTGTCAAGAACCCCCCATGACTAGTAAATTGACCATGACATGTAAAATCAGTGAAGTGCCCCTTTAAGACAATTCTGTAAAAGTAAAAAGTAAAAGTACAAAGACAGTAAAAAAAAAGGTATTGTCTCATTGTGTCTATAGCAAACAAATTCAATGATTTGTGATGTAGTTCATTTAAAAAAATGCAAATATGTCAAAATACAATAAAAAGATTTGTTTCAACCTACAAAGAACCACATAACCCTTTAAGCTTAAACATTAAAAGAACAATAATATTAAAAGGTTTTCACATGGCAGCAGTGCTAGTTTTGGATGTAACCAGAGGCAAGGACTTCTTTCCCATACCTAAATTTAGGCAGCACGAAAGCAGCATAAACCTGCTTCTTTAACTTAACGTTACACCATCTGTAACCTCTGTGATTTTATTATTGTAAACAGTTTATTATTTTAAAGTCAGAGAGAGGAGGGTAGAGGGTTAACAGCTCACCTGTACCATCACTGGGTTGGTCCATTTTATACTGGGGGGTGGAGTACAAGTCCAGACAGACTGGTCCATTCTCAGTTGTGACAAAATCAAAGGACGTCCCGTTTGAAGTGGGTACCGCCTGTAGATCATCATCATAAATTACAAACACATTTCTGTAACTGAGGAATGGATTTGTTATGAGATCACACAACTGTAAAGCCTTCTGCCCCACAAACGCAAACAGGAGTAACTGCTTTTGTGTGATTAAATGATCTACTGGCTGGATATTGTACTTTTCCACCAGAAAAAGGAGATTACAGATGCAGCTTTTTGTTAGTTTCAGTTAGTTTGTTGGTTAGTTACTACACTCTGGCTTTGTGGGGCAGTACAGGGAGATTGTTCTACTTTTCACACTGCACATTCTTTAATTTAGTCGGCACAACCCGCCTTATAACCCTGAGCTAAAACACATTTCACAAGTTACTTTGATATTTACTCTACCTTTTTGTGATTAAGGAAATATCGGAATACAAGCTACAGGCTCACAGTCATTATAAGAAACATTTTGACCATTTTGATTAAGAAAATTGTGACTTTTTACTGTCTCTGAATGACTATTTAATCCTAATCCACAGTCAAATAAAATCCTATATCATACACCGATCAACCATAACAGTATGACCCCCTAGGCACCCTGGTGGTCATAATCTTTTATCCAGCCATATACACAACAAACCATGATGCACTGTGTGTTCTGACACCTTTCTATCAGGACCAGCACTTTTTCAGCAGTTTGAGCTTCAGTAGCTCGTCTGTTGAATCAGACCACACGGGCCAGCCTTCACTCCACACGTGCATCAATGAGCCTTGGCTGCACATGACCCTGTCTCTGGTTCACTGCTTTTCCTTCATTGGACCACTTTTGACACAGTCAATGGTACTGACCACTGCAGACCGGAAACACCCCACAAGAGCTGCAGGTTTGGAGATGCTCTGACTCAGTCGTCTTGCCATCACAATTTGGCCCTTGTTAAAGTTGCTAAAATCCTAATGCTGCCCATTTTTCCTGCTTCTAACACACATCAACTGTGGACAAAATGTTCACTTGCTGCCCAATATATCCCACCCACTGACAGGTACCATGATAACAAGATAATCAGTGTTATCCACTTCCCCTGTCATTGCTCATAATATTATGGCTGATTGGTGTATATGTATGTCAGTATTCACTAGATATGGTTCCTTCAGCTTTAAGAGCATTTCCCATACTCAAGCACAAACATTTTTTAATGTGAAACTCAGAAGCACTTGAGCACAGTGGCTGTATGATAACAGCTGTGCATGTGTAGTGCAGTATATACAGAATATATCTGGGCTGACAGGTGAGAAAAAGAGTTAAACTTGAACTTTCAAACAGTGGTTAAGGACAACTCTGTTCAATGAGGGTGCAGTGTGAAAAGCACTTTGCAGTGATTCCTTTTCTTGTAGCAAGACTGAGGGGTGAAGGAGAAGGGGGGAGTAAAATGCACAGATTTAATCCAGAGCAGCTCCCACCTCAGTTGTACTGATGCCATCCTGGGTGGAGAGGAGCTAGGAGGAGAAAAGAGCATACAAGGCACGGCGTGTTATCGATGTGCTGCTGAAGTCAAAGGCCTCCTTGTTCTTTATAGTCGCTGATAAGCAGGAACAAAGTCAAGCAGCACTACTCTGTAAATCGAGCCCATCACTCATCTGTGTCTGCACACCCTAAAAGCTTTTAAACCTCAGGAGGTGGCCGGTGGAGACAGACTACGGACCTTGATATAAGAACAAGGTCAGAAATGTGTGTGTATTTCCAGCTGAAATATTTCCAGGGATGAGTATATTACGAAGGTGAAAGCTCGGGGTAAAACATTAAAGATGTAAGCGTGTGAAAACAATCAACAACTACAGCTCGAGTTTACACTCTAACAAAGACTCAGTTTCCTGTTTATTTTCACCACTGCTGCACTGAAATACTACAGGATCCTTTCCCCTTCCGCTTTGTTATTGTTTTAAAGTTAAACTGAATCAAACGGCTCCAGGCCAACAGCAGTTATCAGTTGTAAGAATGTAACAAGGAAATGTGTTATTTGGGTTTTTAGCAGCAAAGCTTGTTGAAAGAAGTTATGCTCAAGAAATATATTATAAACAGATCTTCGTGATATGTTCAAGGCTGTTTGGATTTCTCACATATTTTCCCATATCCTAAAAAACACCACGTCTTAAGCATGTATTCATGTTTTGTTTTTTTTACAATGGGATCCTCTGTACATATGCTATGGTATGCTAACCTAAGGACAATTACTTCATGAGCTGTCCAGTAATCAATACATTGTTAGTCGTGTGTATTAACCCTGACATACGTTTTTCTCATCTGTGCCTTGGCGTGATTCCCACCACATCTGCCTCTTCCTGTTGGCTGAGTTATTTGTTCTGTTTCCGTCCAGATCTTCCTCCTCGCACATATCGCTGTCCTTGTCGTCCTGTGAAAACAAAGATGGATAGTTTGGATGATGTGAATCTTCACCACTGGACTTTGAACTCAGGCCACTATTGTGCGACAGAGATTATTCTCTAAAGAATCACAGTTTAAATCCGCCTCTACTGAACACAGTGTACGAGTGCAGTTTCTGAGGAGGAGTTAGATGAGATAATTATGTAGTGTTACTGTAAATTATCAGCATTTCCTTCCATTGATTTTCTGTATTCACAACAGAGTAATTTGTATCAGTGTCCAGTGCCAAATACCACAAAATACTGCACAATAACAGCACAAAAACTAATTTACTTGCAGGATTTTCAGCCTTTTGAAAATAAAATTCCACTTGTTTCCTGCAGCGCCGTAAAAAACAAGACTATCAAAAAATACTAAACAGGTTAAATTGAATAATATTATTGATAAATTACAGATAAATGCCTGATTGTCTGCATTAAAAATAAAATTTACTGAAGAATTTTACTTATATTAGTGTGGAATGGAAGAATTCTACTTTTAATTATTGGTCCTTAGCTCAGTTGTAGTCGTGTTTCTAGAGTTGGTTTTTAAATATTTTTTTCCTTAGAGATTAAACTTCACACTTGTCACACTTGTGGATTTAACACAATAGTTTGTTAATAAAACCAACATGAAGCCCAGACTGCAAATTATTTGCTCTATAGCTAAATAAGCTAAATAAGTCTCATTCCTTTGGATACTTTTCCAAAAATGAGATTGATTTATTCTGTTTTTTAACTGCACTGGTTGAATCAAGCATTAAATTAACTGAGAAATTAACAAAGCATCTGGATTTTTATTTTATTATTATAAGGTCCATCATCATAATTTAGGATCTTCACCATCAAACAAAACTGTCAGCTGCTGATTTATCTCGTAATCATGTTTTATTATTAGCCTTGTCTCAAGTGTACGAGTAGGTAAAACCACACACACACACACACTTCTCTGTAAAGAGATCAATAATGCATACAGTCCCGCAGGTTTACAGGGAGGTATTGACCCCTCTATAAAAACACTAATCTATAACTCCATTACAGGACAGAGGAGCTGAGCCTGGAGCTCTGAGGGAACGGGTTGAGATCAGGAGTGGTGGTCTTCATGACATTAAAGTCGACCTCTTCCCACATTGCGTGACATTTTATTGAGCTGCAGTGGTTCCACTTGAGTAATTGGGATTGAGTGTGTTTCACATAAAGGTGGAGTCCTCAATAATGATTAAATATTACTTGTGACCGTCAGTTATTTTTTATCAAAGAAACCTATGAAAACTTTTAATGATAGTGTTTTATCATTTGGGTGAACTGACCCTTTAAGTTCTGGTTTAGGTTTTGGTCATTCAGAGTAAAGAAAATTGACTTTTAATTAAAACCAGCTCATTAAGTCAATTAGTTAATCACCAAATCACAAACACACACTGTCGATCATTTGTACTCAATAAAACATAGATTCCCATTTGTTTTAAGGCTGATTTAAAAGGAAAGAATGTGAACCTTTTCTTTAATGTTTTGGTCCTCAGACTTTTATCCAGTAAAATCCACCATGATTAAGGCTTAAGGGACAAAACATATTTAATAAACTGCCACCACTGATTGACAGTGTGTGGGATTTTATGTTGTTTCATAGTCAGTGTTTGTCTCATGCACTTGTCACTAAGATTTTATATGAAAGACATTTAATTAAAATTATAAATGTCTTTTTAAGGACATTTTAGATATAGAGTGAGTTTAATTAGTAAACATTAGTATAATAACTACAAAAATGCATCATCTCTTCATCACATTTGGACTAGTGTTATCTGAGTTATTATGCAACAGTTACATGTTTTTTATTACCCCTATAGAGCACTGTAACGCTGCGTTGTCAAAATTAGACCGACAGTGTCTCAGATAACACCTGAGCTACGGCGGACATATCCAGCCAGCGATCGATCTTCCTGTAATCTTCCATCAATACCGTTTCTCTGATCACGAGGTCACCTGGCTGCCCATTTAATTCAATCTGTTTTCTATTTCAGTTCACTGTCTGGAATTTACTGAGGAGCCGCGTTGGAGGTGTTGTGTGCTGAATTCAACTAAACATCTTTGACACCCACCGACTGCTTGCATCCACCCAGTTTTACATTCATTGCTAAGTCCAGATTTCTCTCAGCAGGAGCTCGTTGAAGTTTAACAACACAAATAAAAAGTTAAACCACACACTGTTTGTGAGAGAGAAAGAAAGAAAGAAAGGAAGGTTATTTTATCTGGGGGTGATAATCTACAAACATTCACTGCATTTCACTTTTTTGTGTCTTTATTCATTTTAGCTGTGGTTTAACTTTTAATGTACTCGTTGTTTCACACATTAGTCATTTCTTGTCACTTAATTGTTTTGCTGCATCTACCAGATTCCCTGTGCACAACGCCCATAAAGTAGCTGTGAACTTCGTGCATTTAGCTAAAAACTGAAGAGAGCAATAGTGAAAGTTTAAAAGGATATTTTTGATTGCTGAAACATTTTCTCTTTCAAACTCCTGAAAATATATGTCGAACGTTGGCCATTTAGCTTTGGGAACAAAACAAATATCAACATAAAACATCATAAAACATCAAATATTTTAAAAAATGTACAAATCATCAGGTTTTAGGGTATTTTCTTTAGATTTTTACCCCTATTTTAAGATGTTTCACCTACATGAAATTATAATTAACCTATTTTGTTGTTTCATCTAATATAACTAACCTGTACGGCCAAATTTTTGACATATTTTATAATAAATGTCATATTGCGGTGACATAAAAAGGCTTATTCTCATGTGTTTTCATTGCATTTCTGTCTGCTGTCCTCACCGTCAGCTGGTCGATGGGTTCCTGCAGCCAGAGGCGGATGAGCGTGGCCAGGGTGTAGTAGAGAATCAGCAGCATGATGGGATTGACAAAGTGGTACCACTTACGCTCCGGGTGCACAGTGAGCTTCCATGTGTAGGAGCAGTGGCTCTGAATAATGGGGGAGATGCCAAATACACTGCAGAGACAGACAGACAGACAGGTATATGAGGACAGGAACAACGTTGTATATACACAGATACATAGATATTGACCACAAACAGAACTTAAAAGGTTGATAACTTTGAGGTCAGCATGTCATTCTGGTCTAAGGGTGTGAATACTAAGCAAGATCATCTAACTTTATACCCAGAAAACCATTGTTTGCATAATTTTTCATGCAAAAAGGTGAAATATGTGATGGTTCCAGGTTCTCAAATGTAATAAAAATGTGAACATAATTTGCTGCTTTTTTGGTCTTACATAATAGTAAACTAAATATTTTGGGGGTTTGGACTCTTGGTTGGAAAAAAGAAGACATTTTAAGAGGTAGAGAAGGAAATTGTGATGTATCACAGTTTTATGATGTTTTACAGACCAAATGATTAATAGATGAATTGAGTAAATAACTGGCAGAAGAATAAATCATAAAAATAACTGCTATGTAAACCTTTCTCTGTTTTTCTCCCACAGTTTTACTCTCTATCCTAACCAATAAAGCTGATTTAGACTTTGTACCTGACCAAGGAATCTAACCTTTGTTCATTTAATTCATCTCTCAACAACCATGAGAGGATGCAAAAAAATAAAGCTCAAATCTTTTGTGAACTGGCCTAAAGTCATAAATCAGTGGATTCGATTGTTTCTCGTTGAGATAAGTGTATTGTTGTCTAATCTATATCACGCTCAATTCAGCGTAGGAGGCCTTGAGTTCTCCATCTTTAAAACAAATGATCGATTCCAGAAACAAAGCCAGGATTGATGAGGTGAAGTAAACGATACAAAAGACTGAAGTAACTGCAGAGCTACACTGTTTGTGCTGGGCGGTCTATACACTATATACTATCTGTGAGTCCCAACCTGGTGCTAGGATGGTTAAAGAACCTTGTGTCTACACTGAGCTCAGAAGCTGTGATGGGGGGGGGGTCACAAGTAGATATTTCTTCATTCAAAGGCGTCACATGCTAAAAAGGCTGGAAACAAGCATCAAACAATTATCAGACCAGGGTTGAGTGAGCAGGCATCAGCAATAATACAGGTGTTGTACCGCATTATTGTGGTAAAAGAGGGGTCAGTCGATCTAAAGTCCAACTCTCACCTATAGTCACAACTTTGGGTAGTGACCGAAAGACTGAGATCATAGATACAAGTGGCCAAAATTAGTCTACTATTACTACTACTAGTAATTTATTAAGGCTCAGCCCTAAAATAGGAGGGAGCTCGAACATCGCTGACGCAGTAGATGCTCCTTTGTGTCAAAAGGAGACATCTCATAAGGGAGGTTTTCTGGCCACGTTTAACTGGTACCGGATAACCCAGACTAGAACCAAAATACACTGGAGAGATTATATATCTCATCAGGTTTGGGAATGCCTCAGGATCCCCCAGGAGGAGCTGGAGGAAGCTGATGAGGAAAGGGATGTCTGGACTACCTGATTTAGCTTGCTGCCACCACGACAAGCCCCCTGGATATGTGGCTGAAAGTCTAATTCTTTCTAAGTGTAAGTGTAATTCTTAGAAGCTCAATATATACCATAATGTATTACAATGGTCAAACTATGCTACACTGGAAATATCCATTGGGAAAGTTAAACAACTAAATAATATATAAAGTAAATGTCTGACTTTCAGCAAGATGTCATTTCTTCTAGGAAGAAGACAATCTCCCTCTACGCCCTAACCTTGGAATCTGAAAAATGCACTGAGGCTAAAAATCTTGTTTGTGCCACAAAGGATGCCATATGATTCACTCCTTTTCCTCTGAGCAGAATAAAGGTCATCTGCTCAACAGGAACTGCACTGACGTATTCCAGTGACAACCACACAGATTTAGATGCCTCCTGAGTCTTTTTCTTTCTGTGCCATGTGGAGGAGTGAACACCGCCCCCCCCTCTGACCCCATCACACTTCCTGCACGGTTTCTTGTTGCAGCTGGGGAAGGCCCACTGGTCACATGACTAGGGACTTCCATTGTAAGGAGGGGAGACAGGAAGTGGAGTGGAAGCCAGGCCTGTCAACAGTCTCACTCACCACCCAGCCGACAGCAAGGCCAAGTCACTGTCAACAAGAACAATTAGGGCAGGCACTAAGGTGGCCTATTGTCCAATGGGGGCTGCACGTATTTACGGCCGTAGGAGTTTCCCTCGGACCGGCTGAGAGTGTGCAGAGAGGAAACAGTTCAGATCAGAGGAGGACGAGTTACTTTTATCATCACATTGGGCCTCAGTTTCCACGCAGCAGCAGACAGAAATACCTCAGCGCTGTGGAAAGTCAACATGAATGCAATGTGGAGACGGCAGATGATGAAATAGTTGGCCTGTTCACGTGAAGATCTATCAAAGAAGAATCCGTGCCATCATTAACTTTCCAAATTTAGGACTTCAAATACACAAATAAAAAGGCTTCTTTCCAGAATGAGTGCACTGTTTGACAAAGTTACACCCACTCTCCCATATTTACAGCTGGAAACTAAATGAAGAAAGTTTACACAGTATTAGGAAGTAAGTATTGAAGTTTAGAATCATCTTCAGTGATATTTGGCTTTTTTGGTAATATTTATGTTACCAAGAAGTTTAGATCGATGGTTCCCAACCTTCTGTTGGTCTGAGGAGGTGACGTGTCCAAGGCCCAAAGAGGCAAAAACATAACCTTTTCCCAGATTTTAAGGATCTTTAGAGCTCTGAAGAGGTGAAAGTATCCAGAATTTTACTTCAAGGACTGCTAGAGTCCGGAAGAGGTGGAAGTATCCAGTATTTTACAAGTTTTAAATATTTGTAGAGGCCTGAAGAGGTAAAAGCACCAAGTACCAAGAAAAAAAGCAAACATTTTCTTATTCAAAATTATTAATCATTTGATTAACCCCCAGATTTATTTTAGGGCCCTCTGAGGGTCTTGACCACAAGGTTATAAACCACACACTTAAACTATATTACTCCTACTATACAGTTACTACAGCACACACAGTTTGAATAGACTATTATTGACCGTGCACATGGTGTAACACGGGGTCCATTCATTCTGATGAGTTTGTTTTCTAATGAGAAGCCCATCAATGCAGTGCTGTAATCACACCTTATCTTCCATCTGAACCAGGAGAGGAAAGAGGAGAACACAAGGTTTGTCCAAGGCAGTTTCAGCTATACATAGCTGTAAATAGCCTCGGTCCTGACACATAGCAGCACAGCTTTCAAATGAGAAACCGTGAGATCAATAAAACCCTGCAACACCAAGGGCACTAAGACAACAGCTACAGTGCTGGTCAGGTTTAAAAGACACCATTATCAAAGGACTCAGACGAGGTTAATGGAACTACTGAGAAGCAATGTTGTGTTTTGCATTTTTGTGAGACTTTGTTTAAATATTTTGTGTGAATTTTAAACTCTGTATTTGCTGTCTGACAGTTGGCAATGAATAAATAAATCTTACAGTTGTTGCCTCAGCACTCAGTTTTTTGTCCCATTTGGTTTCCTTAGCTGGCATTTCTCAAAACTGTCTTACAAGCTTTGAATAAAATATGGTGGAGAAGAAGGAATGCACTGTAAAATTAGTTTTTTATGTGAATGCAGAAGTTTTTTAATTATTTTATAATGGGCATCCTGGTAATTGAGTGGTTAAAGATGCATACTATGTAATTGGTTCAATTCACACCAGGAATCTTTAGTGAATGCCTCATTGCCTTATCTTCATGTCAGAATAAAAGCAAATGTCATTAAAAATAAATGTAATGATAATGTGAGAGGGGAAATGTACATCTTTGTATATTATTACAATTTCCTCATGAGCATACTATATATGTATTCTTATTCATTGTGTGTATTTATAAGAAGATTCAGACCAAAATAGAGATTAAATATTGTCTATTACAATAATATAAAATGAAAAGGATTATTACTGATATTTATAACTAATCTTTGCGCCATATTGTCTCAGTGAGACTTTCATGCCAAAATAAATAATAAAAAAATACATTTATCCGTAATAACAGGGAATTAATAAAGTGTTTCTCCTTTCCTGCTGTAGCAGATACTCACTGTTTTGTCAAACATCTAGGGCCTTGATGTGTAATGTTTTACTAATCAGTAAACAAACAGCTTTCTTTGAATTGCAGGTTGTCAGTCAAACACAATGAGCTCAGGGACTTGAGGTACTTTCTGCCACAGAGTCCGTATTCATTACAACAGTGACTAACGTATAATGGCAAGATGTGCAACAATGTGGCTTTACTCCAACCACAACGTTTCACCGCTGCAGCCACAGACAGCTGATTGTCTCCCTTCTCATGCATAATAAAACAACACTGCTTGTAGCGAAGAGCCTAAAAGCTCGGCTTCTGATATTGATGTGCTGTGAGTAGGAGTTTGATATATCTCTCCTCCAGCTGGGTTTGCCTTTTTTCCTTTGCCTTCTTGTTTGTAACAATAGTAAATATTTATTAACGTTTAAACAAACTTGCCTTGGGCGCAATAAATATTGTCAAGCCAAAGGAGCTCTAGCCGCTGAGCTCTGTCATCACGTCATGTATTTTCACATTATTAAGGAGCCAGACAGCATTAGTATGGGCGTTTGCTGTTTAACTAGAGAAATACCATCTCAGCAATTCATCAAATGGGCAGTAAATCTAATGCTGGTGAGTTTAACTTTCTCTAAATTGAGCCATCACTCACTGCTGTGTGGCAGACAGTTTGTTTTTTGTTCTTTGATTCATCTCCTTCTGTCAGCAGAACAGCAAGTATACCAACAAAAGTTTAAACTGAGAACATGATCCAAACCTACTGCATCCTAATAAGCAGAGATATTGATATTATTAATATTAACTATTAACTATCTATCTATTAAGTAGTGGGGTCTGACCGGGAGTAGCTGTCGCCTGGTGGAATGGACTCCTGGAAGAACTGGAACTGGTAGAGGTAGAGGACAACGATATGTCCAGCACTAAAAATGGCCATCAGGACACACATGCAGCTGAAGATGAGTGTGTCGAAGGTCCGGCAGAGGGACCACCAGGTGCACAGGAACAGAAAGATGAAGAAGTAAACAGCTGAGGTCAACGAGGGCAGCATGATGCCTACAAACACAAAAACAGAGGATACAAAATCAGAGGACTGTGGTTTAATTATCTGATCAGGATTATAATTATCAGCCCTTGTTTTGACCCAAATAGTCATCAAAACACTCTAAAGTTCAAACAACAGTTAAGAATAATTTCTAAATACTGTCTGACTCAGATTTGTTTGTTATCCATCGAGCTGGTTTTGCATGTTTTAGGCCGTTAACTACAATTCAAATATGCTTTGCACTACTGCACCCTGATTACAACCATTTATAAAAGCTTATCTGGGGTTCTGGACATCCCAGAGGTGATGCAACATAAATCTACAAGACTAGATTACGATGATAGGAAAGCAAAAAAACATGTGCTACTTAAAACTCTATCTGTAAACTGCAGTCATTCATCAAATCTTTGTATGTTTCTTATGTATTAGTGGATATTTTGACACCATAAAGCCTGTAAACAGCATTTAAACAGAACTAGACTTTTCAATAAAATCACTGACATATGCAAACAGCCAAGGTAGGAAGTAAAGAAGTACAAATACTTTGTTACTGTGCTAGTTTCTTCCAGTATCTAGATAGATAGATAATAGATAGATGATAGATAGATAGATAATAGATAGATAGATGATAGATAATAGATAGATAGATAGATAGATAGATAGATAGGATAGATAAGAATAGTACTTTATTTATCCCGAGGAAATTCAATTCAAGTATCAGTAGCATTACAAATAGAAAACTACATTAAACAATTAAGATAGCTTAAGATGAATTAAAAATAAAATAAAAGTAAAATATAAAATATTATTTTTATATATATAAATTAAGTGGCAAAAATAAACAGTGCAATGGAAGTAAACAGTGCAATGGCTGTCAAATAGAGGTAAAAAGAAATTGTCTATTGTCTATTATCTAGTCTCCCTGCCTTTACTGAGAGCTGTTGTCACAGTTTCCCCACCTGATGGCCAGGGGGACGAAGATTTTTGAGTCTGTTGGTGAGCTGGTTGGATAGCAGTTCTGCACTGACAACATCCACACTTTACTTTTATACTTTAATCCTACATGTTTACAAATATCTGGTAATTTCTACTCCTTAATCTTCAAAACAAGTTCCTTATTAGTTTTAAGCATAAATTGCCCTTCCCAACGTAAATACTGGTGCATATCAGATACATATACTTTTTTTCCTTTTATTTAATAATGTATGTATTTCTAACTGAGTAAAGAAATGTGTGTAGTTTATACTAACCTCTGGTAAACCATTGATGGCGTCAACGAAGTCACATTGTCCTTGTTTTAAGGAGTTACAAAGATTTGTGTGATTACAGTTTATGAGATAAAGTAAGTAATGTACTTCACTTCTGTAGCTGCAGCTGACTCTCATATTTTCAATGAAACTTTTTAAACATCAAGTACAGTAACTGTCTTTCTAAAGAAAATTGTTTCATAGGCACTGATATTTATTTTTTTGCTTTATCAGTCTGGTTGTTAGATAATCAATAAATCATCCAAATATTCAGATGCTTTGAGATGAAGATGCCAAGCTGCTCACCTGTCATGCCCAACAAGATGGTGACCACCACCTTCCCAGCAGTGGTGATCAAGTTCCCTATAATCTCCTTCAACTTGGACGCAAACTGCGCCACGTGCCTCAGGACTTTCCTCTTCATGCTCTCCTTCGCCTCTTCTTCTTCCTCCTCCTCCTCCTCCTCTTCCTCCTCCTCCTCGTCCAGCTCCTCGTCCTCCTCGGCTTCGTACCCCGCCTCGAAGTCCTCCTCCAGCAGGATGTTGTCCTCCAGGCTCAGCTTCTCCTCTTCTTCCTTGAAGATGGATTACAGTGACACATTTCAGTATTGAGTGATGAATGGTGCAGTGTGGAAGGTCAGAGCTCTCCATGGTGCTGAAAACTGTTTCCTGCAGGTAGCTGTTGCATAACAATCCCTGTGCAGACTCCAGCTGGGAGTGTGTGTTTGAGCACGCTTAGCATGTAACACGGCATATTTAAACATACGTATATGTGGTCTGTGTGGCTGCTTGAGACAGTCTAACGACCCTTGGCAGATGTTTTCCTCTGGAACCACATGCTGGCTTCAGATCTGATCCAGTCAGTTCTTCTTTGGCTCTAACCAACTATGTGTCCCTCTTTTCCCACAGCCTCAATGAAATAGAGACATAATAACAAGTGAGCTGTTCACTGCGGTTTATATAGAACACATAAGGCACTAGACAAAGAAAGTAGCAGGTGGTAACCCTGTTTCGAATCAAACAACAATCTCAGCTCAGATGGATCACTGACTGAAATAAAAGCCTGAACACAACGCAGGCTCTATAGATGAATTCCTGGTGTTTCTCCGTAATGGGAAGCGATGCCATCTGTGCCAGCATGAGCAGCACAGTCGAAGTGAAAGTGAATGTGGATTTAATTAACACTGAGTCATAAAGAGAAGGGAGGATTTGCCAGGGGATTGAGGCTATATTCCAAGTCATGAACACTCACAGGGAACTCTCTATTCAAACTCCTGTTCCTAACTTATGAAGCTTAGTGGACATTACGTACAGAGCAGGAGAAAAGACTGCCCACTCTGCTCTGAATCTGGGCATTTATGACTCCCAAAAGGTGGTTGCATACATTAAATGCCAGTGGACACACATAAATATCATCCATTACTAATATGAACATGAACAGAAATCTGAAAATAAGTTTGTTTAAAGATGTGTATGTACATTTGGATTTGTGGTCGTCTCACATGTTTGGAGAAAGTTACTCCAACCAAGTTGAGACATTTCCTCATCAAGGCATTTTTTCTTTTACTTCTTCAGTTTAGTTTTATGGATGTAAAGGTTTGGTTTAACACAGTTTTTAGATGTTCAGCCAAATACACACCCGAAACCACATCTTCACATTCTTCACTTGTCTACTTCAAATTAGGGAAACAATTAATCTGTTGGTGCAACGGCTCGCCAAACCTCTTTAAAACACAACACCCCCCTTCATCATTATTTCTTTTACTTGGCATCCTCCCTTTTGGCTTCTCTCCATTGCTTTCTCTGACGGTCACTATTCGCTATTGCTGTGCACCTGGAAAACAGCTGGAAACTGTGTTAAATTACCGCAAACCACCAACAGTGAGCTGTCACGTCACTAATCTTAGCCACAGCATAAAATTTTATTAATTTCATTATTGCTTTCTCCTGTTTCAACATGTGGCGAAATGTTACAATACAAAAACATCTTGCATTCAACTGTCAGTTTAGTTTACTATCTTGTGAACTAAAATCTAATTTACTAAAGTAATTTATCAAGAAATCATAAAAAATGGTTCTAAAAAATTGTAGTTTTTGCTGCTTTTCTCTGATTTATTTAAGTCAGACACAGTTTTCAGGACATCGCATGTCACCACAAATGAAACCCACTTGTTCCTCTGCATCAAAGTCAGCGTTGTACTGGGCCATGTCCTCAGGCGGCCTCCTCTGGACCAAACTGCGGCACAGCAGCCAGATGGCCAGGCCGACCACGAACATGCCGATGTCAGGGATGAACACTCGAATGCCATTGCCTGCATCTGCACCAATCACGCTGGGGACAAACAGAAAACAGAAGATATACGCTGACAGAAAGCAGACTCTCGTTTCCTGAGAGATGGACGAATCCCAGCCTCTCCCCAAAATTGTGATTTGGCGCAATCTCGCAGGCTCGGATCACAACCAAATAATGGAAAATGGGAGAGAGTACGACAAATCTAACTGTCCATGAACGATCACTGCTAATATAAAACAGTTTTTCTAAGAAATCTAAGGACTTGGTTGCTCCTTTAGTTCACTGTCGTGTGTTTGGATCTGGCCTGAGATATTTGTCACATATCACCTCCATCTGTCTCTCCGAACGGTCTCTGGCTGTTAAAAAAAATGGTTTTAACTTTTAAAATATATGTTTTATGTAATCGTATGAAGGGATAATGTTGTAGCAATTATATCTTTCAGAAAACACTACCTGTTCACATGAATGCATGGGAATCTGGAATCTTTTCCATGACTCAACTGTTCTTTTAATATGTGTTCTGTTGAATGCTTCAGCTTTTATATGGAGTACCACCCACTTTAATGAAATCAGGCTTGCCGGTTTTAAATGTATTGCTGTTAACAAGTGAGTGAAATTCCATTCAAACAAAAAGGCCATGAGAGAGTGCGGTATTTTTCTTTAACTGAGCTGTGAAAAACATGTTTACTCCCTTGAAAATTGCATCCTTTGTTCATAATAAGGTAGTGTGAACAATAAGCCCTCTTTTTCCTCATTAAACTGCATGAAATAAAGGATTCAAACGACTTTAGATATTTCCGATAATGTGTTACTTAAGGGCTGTGAAGATGACACTATGTGAAGTCTCTTCACACTAAACACTGTGTGCAGAGTATAATCATTTATAAATAATATTTATCCCAGTTCTGGTCTACACCGTGTGTGCTTTTCATTAATCCACTGAAATATGACATTGTTTGAAGTGTTGTGGTTATATCGCAGTCAGCAAACAAAGCTTTTGTAACATTTGTTATTTGATTAGTCTGCTCACCTTAACTAAATACCAAAAGGGTTGTTCAAACAGGAAGCTAAACAGTGGCGAACGACTGTTACCATGACAGCTTCAGTAACTTCAGGCTTCAAATGATCCAGTGAGATGTATCTGTGCTGCTTGAGGACAAGTTTTATGAGGTGTCATGATTGCCAGTACAATTAAAGCAAATAAAAATTGTCCTTGAAATGGCTAACAGGTTTCAAAACCCTTAAAACTCCCTTTTATCATCCAAACCAATTTCTATTTCAGTTTTACAACAATCACACTGCATCCTGTGTTTGGCCACCAAAGGGTTTTCTTTACATTTCATGCTGAGCTGTGTAATTAAACTGTTTACAATAAACAAAACATACTGGTGATTCTGCGACGCAGGCTAGAGAGAAAAAGAGCTGACCAAATGTTTGGATTGAGTTATAAAGCAACTGGTCATTTTAAACAGAACCAATCTCATTTTGGCCTTGAATGGATATAAAGCTTATAAAAGTTAACAAGTTGAAAACACAGTGCTAATCAACACGATGGAAAACGCACACTCAGATAAATAGTTGGGCATTTGGCTGCTGTTGGCGAGTTTAATCTAATCAAGGACGTCTGTTTCCATGTGCTTTATTGTTGTGAAGCTTTGTGCATCCTCACATGGATGAAAGAAATGGAAACCGTCTGAGCCAGACGGGGTTGAGCCAGCTACTTTAATGATTCCTACTTTCCCCTGCTTATCATGTGAGAGAATTACAATAACATTAGCAATGCTAAGACCTGTCCTGTCCTCAGGCTGCAAAGGGCATTACTCATGAGGCTTCAGTGAAAAACTACAAATACAAAGACTGCTAAATATGTTCTAAACCATATAAATATTTGGTATTTAAAAGGGATTTGAAAAGGTCAACCTTGAAGAAACTGAAGAAACTGTCTGGGTGAAAAGACACATAACAGCTGTGAACTTGTTTCAGACTCCTATACGTCTGACTTGAGCGCTGCATTTTCCTTTATCCAGGCAGTAAAAGCGAGAGAGCATCAGCCTGAGCAGCAAATGCAGCTGTAAGTATTGTATATACTGTATATGCTCTTCAACACAAACAGGTAAATGCAGGCGGGATAAAATGTTTATGGCTCTACTTCCGCCACTTACAGTATACTATCCACCGAGGGCTGTTGAGTACTGGAAAAAGGATGTGGCTGAGTTTGGACATTCCCGTACTTAGGAAACCGCATCTAACACGATCATGGGGGTGTGAGGAGATAGACACAGCGGCAAAAGCTTTGAAAAATAGGCCTGTCAACTGATTGTCAGACGTAACTGGGTTTAACGTTCATCAAGAATCCACACGGGGACAGGTTGGGAACATTTATAAACTCTTGACAGATGACGAACCAGCGTGGCTAAATGCAAAAAGTGGTGTTTAATGTTATTGTGGGGTTGCTATATTTAGGACACTTTGCACAAAGAACCACATGTGGGATCTTAATTTTAATTTTAATGGCTTTTGCTGTTGATTCTGAATAAAAAACACACCTTTTTTCCTTTAAAAAATAAGCATGCTATTCTGTTGCATAGTGTTAATGTTGTCATATGGCTGACCCTCACTTAAATCAGCAAACAGGCACTATCACTTCCTGAATAAAACATCTGGATTGCCCATCTGGCAGAAAACTCAGTTAAATAAAATCCACACTTGCATATTTTATGCTGCTGCACAATCATCAGGTGAAATGTGATTTACAAACAGTTTTTCCTAATCAAGCTCACTATATGAATCATAAAACACAATCAAGAAAATAAATAGATTATCAAAAACAGCATCATTATTAGGTGTGTCATCATTATCTTACCTCTCAAAGCCAATTTGTCTTATGGATTTCTCCCACGTTGAACCTGGACAAAAACAAAAAGTCAGTTAGTGAGCACTGATATTGTTTGGCAAAGAAATCCACCTTAACACCTTTAATAACACTTTTATACAGTCATAAAAAACAAATGGTGGTGCTACAGGTGGTCAACGAGCTGTTGAGATGATGATTTCCATTACTGTATCCAGCTATATACAGCCAATAAATGCTGTTTAATATTCCCTATTATAATATAAAGAATGAAGATCTAGTCTGTAAAAGAGCTGCCACTTTTTTTCAGCCTCTGACAGAACCATTAAAAGACAAAAAAACTCCATCTTTGAATCATTTGTAAGAGTCAGAAAACTGTTTGCAGATAAACTGCATGTAAAAAACAAGAAAATAAAAATATTTCATGCCAGCTTTGTTTCCACCGCTTTGAAGTGTTCCTGAACGTCACACCAGCGCTCAGAGAGAGATTTCCAGGTATTCAACTGACACACTGAGAAGAACTGCCAGAAGTTGACCGGCCTTTGTTCTACTTCCAGAGAAAACATAACATCAGCTCGTGACTTGAGGATCTCGACTCAATGACATATCGACATATCCGGCTGTTTTGCCAGTGTATTAGGCAACTAATTAGGTGCTGAACTGCTGCATCGCAGAAGATTATGGTTTATGGAGCGTAGTGGGGGAAAGTGAAGATGTTAAACACACTTCATTGAGTCAGACGAGCATAAGACAAAGCACTTCTTCACCCGAATGACTTTATCTACCTGTGTGCTAAACTATACTTGCACTTTTTGGGAGGTTGTCAAACTTATAAAATGTTTTTGCAGCAATTCTTGTTAAAACAGTACGTTAGAGCTGGGCAATAAATCCATTGGAGCGGAATTTAAGTTTTAAAATGATGCAAAATAATGGCTGAATCGTTAAAACTGAGATTTAAATTAAGAATGTTATAATGTGGCGATAAACAGCTGCTAAGGACTCTGGGAAACAAACCCTTACGCACTGAAGTCACTCATCTACACAGAACTTTCCCATAACAGAAAAAGATGCGATGGCGTTTCATATTGCCAAAGATATGGTGACTTTTGTAGTTTGTTTTCAACAAAAACAATTAAAAGGTGAAAAGATAGGGTGTCTGGTTAGCTCAGTTGGTACAGCTGGTGACCCATATACAGAGTTGCTGCAGCGGCCCGAGTTCGAACCCGACCTGCGGCCCTTTGCTGTCATCCCCTCTCTCTCCACCAACCTTTCCTGTCTCTATAAAAAAAGGCCCAAAAAAATAACTTGAAAAAGGTGAAAAGATCAGGGACTGTATTTTTGAGGTCCTGCTGTACAATAAATGTTAAATTTTAAAGCACCACATAAAAGAAAGAAAGAAAACTAAACTGTAACTTTAGGATGATGGTTCATATCTTTATAATACAGAGGGTTCAGACTATAACATATTTTTATAACCTTGGTATCTACAGTTCTAAGCATTAAAAAGTACAATCAATCTTTTGTGTCACTTTAAAAAGGTTCATTTGCAAATGTAGTATAATAGTATAAAAAGATTTCTCATAAATGAAACACCAAGTATCCAGTAAAGGAATGAGTCACACTATTAGGCACTCTGTCAGAAACAGGAAACAGACTCTGAATTCCACTCAAGGTGAATAAAACAATAATGGACTTTCAGCACAAAGCCTGTTGTTTCTTTATTACTCATCAGTGACAAAAATAGCTGCACGGATAGCTTCACTATCACAGATGTTATATGTGTTATGCAGTTGGGGTAGAGGAGGAGAGGTAGGAGGTCCAGTGGTCAGTGAGTATCATCTGTGATGGGAGGAGCCCACATGACTGACCCCTGACACGACCTCTGACATTAAACACTTCACCCACTGTTGAGACACTAGAGGAATCTGTCCACCTCCACACATCTACTCCCTTTTTAAACTCCTCAGAGATAGAGAACAGTTATTAACCGAACTATGTTGCAACACAACATGTGTCAAAGGCCAAAAAGGCAAAACTAAAAAAATACAAATCTGTTATTATTCTGTGGGTAAAGCAATGAATTGGCTCTTTATTGCTAGGTTGTATTGCATTGTTTGCTATAAACGAATGTCTATGACTATTTTAATTAGGTAATTATTGTAGGTTATTTTAAGGAAATAAATAATAAAACTTAATCAATAACTTTTACTAAACTTAATATTTTCAATTTAACACGAATCAAATCTAATAGGGTTGCTAGTAGTATCGATCCCACTGAGAATCAACACCTAACGTCAGTAAACAGCATTTAGTTGCTTTCAACTCATTGTTTTGGTGTGATAGTTTGCACATAGACTACATGGCTGGGTCTCACTAATCTTCAATCCCACATTACACCATCAGCAGTAAACAATATCTATATATAAGATAAGAAATACTAGCAGGTGAGGATAGTTGAACATTTCTCTAGCAGACTAAAGACAGTTTTTGGGCCTGTAGTCTAATAAACTAGCTACTTAACATTTTGTGCCATTTACAAGTGAACATGGTGAGAGGTGTGCCAGAAACTTGCACAGGAGGAGGAGATAGGGTCCACTGATGTTGTTGTAATCCCTAATAATCACCCACAGAGGTTGATAAAGGTCACAGATTACTTAATGCCCCATTTAAATCTTCAAATAGAAACTCTTGAGCTTAAAATGTCAGCCCAGTGACCACAGGAAAAACTGTTTGTGTTTCAGTAATTCCCAAGTGCAAACATCTGCAACACCTAACTTCACCCAGCCCAAACTGAGCTTACAGGTGTTAGAGGAAAGCCATCCTGTGTGTGATATGTGATCATGCACAAGGAATGCCAGAGGTGAAGTTAGGCCAGTCTGATCCGTAGGGTGAGGAAGGGAATATTGTGTAATACAGTCTGAACTCAGCATGGAGACTTCTGGAAAAGAGTGTGAGAGCTTTTTGCGCATCCAGGCGAGGCCGCTTTCCACCCCAGCTGAGCACCAAAAATACCTGTCCTCAGACTTTATGTGAACATCATAAAACACCCTTTGTACTTGCTGGGCCGTTAACCTCTCAGCACAGCATTTCTTTGCACACTCTCTTCTATCTCTGGGGCCTAATGCCAGTCGCCCTTTTCCGCAGAGACTGGTTATATGCAGCGTCAACATTTCATCACGTCATAACTATAATCGGACAATCGGTAAGCGGAGGGAGAATACACAAAATGTCTCACATCTGGGGAATAGTGGACAGGGCGTGTGTGGATACGGTGGGCGGCAAAGTTCAACAATGCTGTCTACAAGACTTAATGAAGACTATCCACCCGAGGAACTGGTCACAAAACAGCCATTCAACAGGCCGTTTACTCCTTATGAGCTGGTGAAATGTTCATTGTCATCAGATATGGGCCAAATCAAACTTGTAAATCCTTTTTTATGGTTTACTTAGTTTGCCAGATGGGTGGGGGTTGCCTCTAAAGGACAATGACTGCCAAAAGGTTTTAGACAATCACAGGAAAGAAGTAGTTTTGAAAACCAGCGTAGAGTTTTTATTTTCTTAGTTGACATTATCTGAAATGAGGTGAGCTCAACACATCTGCTGCTCTTTGATGGTTGATACAAACGCTCTGTTGGACTGTTTATAAATGCAGTTCCCACCATGTCGAGTCAGCACAGAGGAATGACAGATGACTCCAAAGGAAGTCGGCCCCGGCTCATCTGGTGACCAGTCACTGACCTGGTCTAACAGCTGGAGGTGTTAGCTTTTTTGGAACGGTTTTCTAATTCATACTCAACTCAGTTTACTGCTCTAATGGTGTATTTGGCTACGAGGAACAGAGGAAATTGTATGAAGTTATCTGGAGGGAGGATAACCGCCTCACCGCAATGGAGGACTCCTTGTTTATACTTGGCTGCCAAAAGGAAAAGGGTGTCAAGGGGCTAAATGCCAGATATAGAAACCTGAGATAAGGCATTTGCTCAGAATGTAGGCGGCGTATCAAGGGGAAAAAAGAGTAATGTTTGACTTCCTGTTGCATGTAGCCCAAAAATTTAAATAGAACTAGAATGACATTAACTTCAGGAAAAAGAAATCCCAACAATATGTATACAAATCATCACAGTGGGTGGAAAACCCTGTTACTGTAAAACAAGGTTTGAGATATATATGTCTGTAAAATATTGTCTGTGTTTTTTGTGATTGTTAACGACATTCTTTAGCTCATCTTATGAAGTTTTCTTTATCATGTGAGTGTGTGATGTTATATTTCACCACCCTGTGGCTCATTAATTGTCAGATGACAGCCAGGATCCACCAGCTGTTCACTAAAAAGCAATTACTGAGCAGCCCATTGCTCATACAGGGACTTTTCTGTTAAATGTTGCAGATAATGACTCAAGATGCTGTTCATTCAACTGCCAATGGAGCTTAAAGATATATAATCTGAAACAAAACACATTATACTTTGCCTTACCGGAGTCATACTCAGCATGGTCACAACACCAGGACAATGGCGATAGTACAATGTTTGTTTGAAGATTGTATTGCCTTTATCAGATAATATAGCAGCTGACAAGAAAGTGGGGAGAGAGTGAGGAAATGATATACAGCAAATGCCCACAGGTTGGAATCTGGGACCCTGCAGGCCTCAGCTTTTGTAAATGGGGCTCACGCTCTCCCTAATGTCCACTATGTTCACCATCTTAGTTTAGCGTGGTAGCGTTGTCACATTTGCTAATTAGCACAAAACATGAAGTACAGCTGAGAATGGTGTGATCATTAGTTTTGTGGCACGTGGGTCAGTGGTTAACACTGTTGCCAGACAAGGTCTTAGATTCAAATCCCGGGCTGGCGTAGGTGGAGCTGTGTGGAGTTTTTGTGGGTTTCCCCTGCCATTAAAACCTGTATGTTAGGTTCTGCACTTGACCGGGCGCTGCAAGGTGGTTGCCCACTGCTCCTAGTACTTAGGATGGGTCAAATGTCACTTAACACATCACTTAATGTTACCACATACCATCAAATAAAAATGTTAGTTGTTGAGATGTGTCAGTCTAGACCAAAGTGGTTCATAAATATACAGTAGTACACTTTCGAATGTTTAAATGGTTTCCTATAACAGCGGGGCACTGCAGTGTTTAGCAAATTTTAATACACTTTTGGTGCTCTGGTGAGTATTTACAGCAGCAGGACGGTGTGATTGACTCAAAATAAACCACACTGTATGATAATAAAGGAACATCTCACCCAGTGTAACACTGTGACTCACTGATATGTTTTTTAATAGTATTTGGGCAACAATGGAGCTCTATAGCACAGAGGAATAAGATATATTAGGTTTGGACAATATAAGTTAGTAAGATCAGTTCATTGTTACACGGGAAAAATATATCAAAAAAATATAAAATATCACCAGACTTATCTATTTTTTGTGCTTTTCTCATTAAATTATACATTTACAATATTGATGTTCTTATTTGTCATTGTTTTTAATATATTTTGGTACCATTTTGGTAATAAGTGCTTCTCATTTTATCTTGTTAACCACTGTTATCCGCTAGATTCTGTATATTCTGATCCATACATAAAAATCAATGAAACAACCAAAACAATCAATTGGTTGACTGGCTGGTCTGAAATTAAAGCTTTCTATAAAGTTATGCTGAAAAGATTCATAAAATATATGAATTTGTTCCCAATCCCATTAACCATTGTAAGAGATAATACAGAGTTAAATACAGTAGATGGATAAAATGTATGGTCTCATCACACCGAGGGTTTGATCTGCCAAAAACTGCAGCCCTGGAGACCTCAGTAATAAAGATCTCCTTGAGTGAATATTTAGTCTACCCTCTCTGAACGGCTCTGTGTGTTTCTGCCTGAGGCGATAAGGTCCGTTCTGCCCTGTGAGCGAAGTTGGCTGTACTTCTCCGTTGGAAAGCAACTTTACCTCCATTAGAAAGAAGTCATTAGAACACAAGGTCAGGGTCTGTCCCGTCTAGACACATTCAAATTTTACAGTTTGATACAGACTTTCATGAGAAGCCCAAGGCCAAACTATTAACACTTTCCTAACACTGAGTCAGTAGCTTACAGTGTTTGCTTTACGGGCAGCAAGAATCTCTTTTTCTCACGTCGCCATATGGCACAAGGAGGCTAATTACACCGAGGAATGTGTTAGATTCATAAATCTTCATGATGTGACAAAACGTAATAAGAACGAGGACATTTTCTAGAAATTATGAATCATTATTAGAAAGTATATTTACCTACTCCTGCAAATGGAGCATGTCTTCTCTTTTTCTGGATGGAAACTTTCCTCCTCAGACTACACCTTTGGTGATATACAACTCTGTGACACTGCATCAATAGATCAGGTCAGAGTTTAAGCACAAACAGCCTGTGTGATGGATGGGACACACATGTGAATCTATCAGATTACCATGGCCCAATAAGTAGAGATCTCACTGTTGCGGTCTTACATGAGTGCTCAGGGCGAGTAAATTGTTTTAGAGAAAGAGTTTTTGAGAAAGCCACTAAGTACTATAACGTTGTCGGGAATAAGAGGGTTTGATTCCTGTTTGGGCCACCTAAAACTGCATTACCTCAGCTGTTTAACTACTTATTATACTGCAATAGCAAATACATTTGAAAGAAAAACTGTTTAGTTTAGGAAAGAATTCATAAATCTTCCTGCAAAATCTTCATACAACACATCTGTAAAAAAGTGACTGATTTGATTTCCCTAAAATATCCACTAATAGCAGCTTAATTATTGTTTTTACTATTATGTTTAAGCTTCATTTATACTTCTGCCTTAATGGGTTATGCCTTACCTACTGCAGCCAAGTGCACAGGCTCCATAGGAATACTTTAGGCTACATCGTAGTCGTAGTTGATTTGCACCTCTTAAAGATTTAACTACCCACTGGGGCTATATGGTGGCTACAGTAACACCACGTGGAAACCAAAAGAACTGTGATCGATCAGGTTGGGCTGCTTGTGTTTTCCCTGACAAGTTTTAGAGATTGTTAAGAGAGCAGACACATAAAGCAAATTGAAAAATAAGGTCAGTTATCTCCTCCTTCTCAGCAATAAACATCTAGAGAAGGCATTTCCCGGCAAAACGTCTGCTCACAGGGATTTCTAACACAGTGGATAAATGAAGAACATGAATGCCGACTTTACAGACTCATATTTAGAACTAAAACAAGGGGGATCAGCCCAACCGTTACTTGTATCACAAAATAATAAAAGAATCAAAGTCCAATTAATGTACACATCCGTCTAGTGCTGCAGGGGTGCTATTAACTGAAACTGAACAACCTACAACCTCGGTATCTACAGCAGGACTTTCTCCTGCATTAAAAAGTATAAATCCAGTTTTCGGCTTTTACAGCTCTTGGTTAAGGTTTGGGAAAGAGGCTTGTCTTGTTTAAATATTAAATAAGTGATCTGAAGCACAACACTTTAGAGTTTAAAGGACCAGTGTGTAACATTTATGAGGATCTATTGGCAGAAATGGAATATAATATGCATAACTACATTCTCGTTGTGTATAATGACCTGAATATAGGAGTTGTTATGTTTATTTTTATCTTAGAATGAGATGTTTATATCTACAGATGCTGCAGAATCGCCTTCCATGGAGTCGAACATGTTGAATCGCCATGTTTCTACAGGAGCCCAAAAGGAACAAGTGTTTTATGGCTACCGTAGTTTCTCATTCGCTCTTGGAAGGGGAGAAAGAAGCCACTAAATCCTACACATTGGTCCATTGTGGCTTTATTAGTCTCTTAACGTTTCTAGAAACATATAAGTGTCTTCTTGTTTGTCTTTAAAAAGGTTTGCACACAGCATAAACTGAAAGAAACTCCATCAGTCAAGTCCACTCTGCAGCTTCTTTGTGGATTCTCGTCTTGTGAGTCGCTTTGATTTCAACACACACAACAAACCTCACCAGTTTCAGAGCCTTGACCATAAAGGCCGCAGTGTACTCACAGTTGAAGTCCGAGCTGATGGAGTCCCCTGCCAGGAGGCTGTTGATGGTAATCTGATAGATGATGTGGAGCAGCAGGAAGGACATACTGGTGAAGCAGAGGGACTGCAGCAGACGCCCTGTGTGGCCTGGAGGAGGAGAACAGCTACAGTGAGTTCACCACCACAACCACTCAGTTTAAGGACTTCCACATGTTATTACTGCTGTTCATGTACTGAACCTAGACAAATTCTCTTTGCTGGTTATTTTTTTCTAGACCCAGAGAACACTGTCTAACACATTTTTAATATTTTTGTAACATTAAAAAGTGCCTGATATTTCTGAATTCTTGCACTCTTTAAGCCGAGGAAGGAGAACAACGATTCATATTCATGTGATCAGCTGTGAAATCTGGAGCTGTTTTGAAAAAGGTGAATGTGACTGGGAGAGCACCCAAGGGGGATTTTATGTGGATCATGATACATATCCTGGTTAAGAACTGGCAACACTACCATAGAGCAAAGTTTATTTCTGCTGAAAAGTCAAATAAACATTCCGGTGGACCACAAGACCTCTAATTCTCTCTAAGTCTCTGAATTCAACGTGGACCGGCCTTTATACCTGGTTTGATTCTTCGGTTTCTGGTTTCGGTGGCTGTTCGTGTTCGCAAGAAATGACTTGGCTGTCTGAGTAAGATCAACAGATACTGTAGGTGTTGACTGCCCCGGTGTCATTCTTTAATGTAGATAAATACTACAGCTGTCAATGGACATTACTGATCCTTGGAGGGAAAGGATGAGAGCAGTCTGAGGAGCTGCCACAGCTGCTCCACACATGGCTATTTAATAGTGCACCTACAGGTATTTGGGATAATTTCAGGAGTTGTTATGGTGATAATTCTCTACCGTAAGGATTTGTTTTGGACCCCCTCGTATTTGCAAAATAGAAAATGTTCTTCCTCAAGAAATAAACCAGATTAATTGGACTCTTCTTCTTTGAGGAAGAACTGACAGTAATGCCCCCCCACAAAGATTAAACTGTCCCACATATCTGCACGGTTTGGTCCACTGGTTCTGCACAGGGTAACATATCTAACTCATTATGTTTACTGCATCCTTTGCGGGGGGAAACACATAACAGTTTTATTATAGTGTATGGCACAATACCTTGGCTAAGGTGAGACGCTACCGCTGAGCTTCAGGCAGTCGAGGGGTAACCTTATCAAATGTGTGCAACAACGAAACCACGGCTGGCAAATTAAATGTTGAAGTGAAAACAATTTGTGCTAATTTCCCAATGCAATTCCCTGGGCTTTCACAAAGAGGGAAAAGAATGCTTGTAAATATGAGGAATGAGGACTGTGAGCGAGCTTCTGCGTCCAAATTGGTCCTGAGGCTCTGGACAACGCAACTGCTTTTGGCTCTGCCCTCCTTTTTTCCTATTTGTAACAGAGCATTTTTGTTGTGTGACGACCATCTGTCTTGGTTGCCTGACGCTCATCTTGAATTAGTATTTCTCTCCGCTTCATTATGCAGTCTCAAAGCGCCGTCCCAAGAGTACTTTTTTAAAAAGGCTTCAAAAATAAAGAGCATTGTTCAGTTTTAAGAGTTTCTACTTTTCCCTAATCAATCAGAGGATCGTATCCATTTCACAGCATTAAAAACCTGATTTAACCACATGGTTTTGCCAGATCATAGTTTTAGAGAGAGGTTTCAAACCTCAATGTAATCATTTGGTCTTTTTTTGAGTCCCTGCCAGACAATACAAAGGAGAAAAAAGTCTTAAAAAGGTATGATAAAGATGGATTTTGAAAGAAAGGCCAAACTAGTAGATGCGTTAAAGCCAGACACCCTCTGTTAGAAGTCAACTAGCTTAAACATAAACATGATAAATCATCCATAACATCAAATATTTATACAAATTCATGCAACAGTATTAAAAGACTTCTCCAGGGGGGGAATTGTCATGTCAGTGCCCATTCAACAAGGCATATAGCACCCACTGTAAAGGCTCTTAAAGATGCCTGCTTACCCGTACGAGAGCAACAGTTTAGTTTTTGTTCACCTCCACTGAGAATTAAATGCCTTCGAGGGGATGTGGTGCCAAATACTGCAATTACGACATTAGAGAGTAAATCACAAACAACAACAAGTTGCATAAGATATTGTTTGTCTCCAGTTAGGATTGGAGTCTTGTATACTGACATATCCTTGGGCACGCCACACTGCTGTGGCTTTTAAAGCAAATTACACCTAATGAATTATTCATGTATAACATTTGGTTTAAATTTACTTTACCAGTCTAACTGCCGCATGTCCTTTAAGATTCAACAGACAAAATGAAATAGACCATCAAAACAAAGCACTGAATTTAGCTCAATCCCTTCCCTAATTCCCTCTAAAACAATCAAAAATTACTCTTTTCTGCACAATGCAATGTTTAGAGTTTGTACTGTCAGTGTGTATTCAGGATGTCTACATTAGGCTTCCATACAGTAATTAAGTGAACAATTTAAATGTAATATACCACAACCGAAAGGGAGGAAATAACTGTCAAGTTGTAACTAGATTAAGATTATCTGCTCAAGTTTATAATCATTATATAATTAATTCATATTACCATGATTACTTTTATACAATCTGAAGTTAAATGGACAAAAATGATTAACAGTACACATTAATTGTGGCACTGCTATCACAATCATCCTCAACAAGCTGTGGCTCCAAAACTAAATACTTTTTTCCTTCTATAATCAGACAACTTGTTAGCTAAAATAACCTGTAATTATAGTTTCCAATAATTTCATGATCAGCACAAAAGAAGAAGCTGCTCACTGAGACTTCCTCATACTGTGGTTCTTTCAGCCTGCAGTTCCCCCGCTGACGGCAGACAGATGTTTACTGTGACAGGTCTTACACTAGAAGATTATCTCGTACTATCGGTGCTTGTGGCAATTGACATGTGTGATATGTAGTTCTTTTGTTCTTGTGCTTCGGTACATGATCGCTCTAATGTCTGGTTAAAGGTTACATAAATAGAAGCTGGTAAAACATTTATCACGTCAACTTAGGGCTGCACAGTTGATGGAAATATTATCAAATTCACAGTGTGGTGATATATTTTTTATAAAGGTATAATGTGTGACAAACCAGCATTATGATAAAGTACTGTAGTGCTGCAGGGATGCTTTGTTTGTTTGATACAGACCGAAACAAATGTCACATAATCATGATTTTAATCGATTTTAGTGAAATTTAAAATTGTAACCATATCAAAATCACAATATCTGTGAAAAATAATCATAAATTATTTATTTTTTCTTACATAAAGTCTTACATAAACTTCAGTTCAGTTTTTTGGTAATTGTTATGGTTACCTCAAGATCACCATTTATTTAAAACCTGCTTCAACAACTTATATTTAAGAGCTTTTTTATTTCAGAAATATGAAACAATTCTAACGGCAAATAAGAAACATATCCAAATATGCCTAAAAGCTGTAAATAATAATAATAAATTGATAACAAACTGCTTTTTTTTAATAATTAGCAAACAGGGGTTGCTGTCTTTGAACTCCTCTTTGTGGAAACATCAACTTGCTGCTCAGGAGGCCCCTGTTGAGAGTGTCAGTGCACAACGCTTACATCTGAATGATAAGGTTTATGATAAATTAATTAATAAATTAATTCTGAACTCTCAAGAGACCGACCATGAACAGCTGTTTGCTTGAGAGACAAATGAGAGTCCCTTATGTCTGTTATTCAAAGTGCACCTTATTATTATTATTACACTATACATCAAACTGTGGAAATAAGAGAACTAAATCACTACAAAAAACAAAAATTGGAACCATCAATGTAAATAACATCACCAGTAGCTTTTCTAAAGAGTGTTAAAACATGTATTTATATTACTGATAACATATGTAACTTACTTACTTAGAAGTTACTGATATGAATCAGAGGACATTCAACTATTGTAATAACAACAGAGCTCAGAATGCAAGCTTAGTGAATAATGTGTCATATTATTTAAACAGTTTATCTGTGTTTAAGTCCATTTCCCTCCTTTTGTCACCTTCTTGTCAGATAAACCAAAGTTAAATAAAGCAGGTGCCTTCTCGAAGATTTTGTTTTAACTTTTGCTCAAGTATTTTATTCACATAATTCCTGAGAGGGGGGCATTGTTTAATGCTGTATTTTATGTTGTTTGTACTCTAATCTGAGAGGTATTAAGAAACTTAAAAGTGGTAAAAGTGGTTGTTGGTGTTGAAGTGTCTTTCATATATTATGCATAATCTCAATTAGGCTCCACTTGGTCCACTTAAAAGGAAAGTTCTCATTTTTTAGTCCATGTAAATTCTGACCTTACTGCCAACGTTGAACCGCGTCTGAAGTCAACATCTATCAGACACATGAACATTGATCTTTACTCGAAGACTCCTCTCTTTAACTATTGATGAGAGTGTAAGTGGTCCACTTTCTCTGCTCCCTCCTCTCCCTCTCCCGCTCTTCCTCCTTTATTTCCTGATTGTTATTTCAGCTGGAGACGCGCGGAGATAGCTCTCGGACTGGATGTGGTTCCCTCCCACCAAAATGGCTTCATGTATTATTAAACGCTGCATGTGGTCTCCGACAGACACCCATATTATGTATAGTATTTATAATATAGCTGAGGTTGGTGACCGCGAATCCCACATTCATCACCCGTAGAGACAACAGCCATCTTAGTCACTTCTCATAAAACCTCCTGTTTGATTTATATTTCTTTGGAGGATAAGTTGCTGCTGTGTAGCTGTCGGAGGACGAGGTCAAAGCTAATTCACCGGCTTTAGGGGTTGGCTTTTATTTACTGAACTCTTTTTGAAAAAAAGAGCTTAAATACCTCAACTTTCACATGGGCTGAATTAACTAATAACACTTGTCAAATGCACGCAGATCATAGTACTGCAGGATGAAACCCATCTAAAGAATCAGTGTGGAAGCCTTAGGAGCAACTTTTATATCCCCCTTTTGATAACTGAAGTGGTTAGTCATTATCAAAAACAGCCCTCATGTCAATTTTATTCTTCTTTCTCTGGTGGATATGTGTTTTTTTTACTCTTTTGTGTTTCTTTTCTCAACTCTAGATCTTGTGTGTTCAGTTTTCTTCTCTTTCAAGTTTGGACATTATCTTTCCAAAAACTAAACATAAGTCTAAAATGTTCATTTTCATCAAGTGGACATCAGGTTTGGCCCTGATGGATCACGTCTTTCTGCCTCAGATCTGGCCGTCCATGGATCATTTTTATTATTACAGATGGACTTGTGCCCGCACTAACCGATATTACCTTTCATGGACCGAACTATGTGCCAAATCCATCCTCATCTCAAGGAAATTCAAGTCCCCTGGAGAAGGGCTGGTTTACATTACAGAGAACAATATTGCAATTCAAACTGGAGGCTTTTGGGAAACAGTCAAGATTCTCCCGGCGACGGACAAAGCCAGAGCAAATTGAAACGTGTGAAGTTTTGAAGAAGAGTTGCGCAATAGTCTTACCCTGCATTGTTGTGCTTGTGGGCTCCGCGAAGAGTGGAATAAGCAGGAGGTAGATGAGGTAGACGAAGGACAGGGCATTGTACCTGAACAGGCAAGCTGCAGAAACAAGCACACAAATGCAGATTGATCAGTAAATCCACCTTCAGGTCATAATAAACAACAACAAAACTGCATTCAAATACCATAAATTCAATAGCGTCTTTAATTGCTTTTTGTTCATTACGTAATGTTTAGCAGTAAATAAAGTGCAGGAGCTGGCAGTGGCAACCAGCTGCCTGGTCAGGAGTCGCCACTGAGATAAACTAAATACAGATTTGAGAGGAACATGTGGTGAAACTCATTAAAATGTTCCTGGTGTAGAAAAAGCTGCTGGTAGTAATAAAAAAAAAAAGCCAGAACATTCCTGTAACCAAACTTTACACTCAAAAAGCCTCATTATCTGTTCATCTGGGCTGCATCACAAACAGAGACTGAGCTTAATTTAGTAATTCAAGGGAACCGACGTTTGTTTTGAAGCACAATAATCACCCGATAGTCCTTGGGTGTTAAGGGAGTCGATTATCTGAGTGAGGCAGCCAGAGGTCAGCTCTGCCTTCACAATGTGCAGCTTTATATCATATGTGAAGATTTCATTTTTCAAGAATTTGATGGCATTTCATGGATTGTGAGCATTATTGAAGCTGGATCTTTTTCTTTTTATGATAAAACTCTACAAAACAAAATCTCTGTGTGGCGTCACGCACCAAAAAACCCCTAAAATGCATGATGTACCTCTTGAGCTTTGAAAACAGGAAAACAGCTTTCGGTTGCCAAAACTTTAAAAGAAACAACGCCACATGGAGCGTGAAGAGAGCGAAATGTCGTGAGCCGTGTTTAGTTTTAGTCTTTTTGATCTAAAAATGACATTTGACAGCAAATGTTGATTTATTTTCACTTTAATTCTTTCATTTCTTACATTCTCTTAATTTCTTAAATTGAATTGAGTTAAATGTATGTCAGTGATGCATGTTTAAATATATAAATCGAATCAAAATAACTTTATTTATCTGTTAAGTTAGCTGCCAGTTCATATACAACATATAACAGCACAGAGAACTAACAAAGAGGACACAACATACATACAAGTGTAAATTCAAATGTTTAACATATTTAAAATGCCATCAGTTGGGTTAAATGTGCCTAAGAATGTCCATAAATAAACATTAAATTGGGTCAAGTGCCCAAACTAGTGCAGAAAATGAATAAAGAATGAATAAAGAAAATAAAAAATATCATATATTCTTTCTTTGGAGCTGCAACAATTAGCTGATTAATC